TATATATATATATATATATATATATATATACCACTGTAGTGGTCGTCATCCATTGTTGAAGCACAGCCACCCTCTAAAAAAAATTTTTTTAAAAAAGAAGGCTGGCCGAAGCGATACAGTGCAACTGTTTGTAGTTGTGGGTGTATTTAACCTGTACATATTGTTGAAAAGCATTAGAGTGACTGATAATGGTTTAAACAAACAAGAAGTTGATGAGCTACTAGCGGATAATAATTTATTTGAACTAAGTAATTTTGAATCAGGCGCATGGAAATCAGTAGATACGGATTCAAGTGAAGATGAAACAGTGATACTGCAAAGGGGTCTTCTGAACAATACGTAATAATTTCTGAGAGAATGTATCTTTCTCAAGCACAACGCACGCGATTTTTATAACATTTTTCGTGAACTTCAAGGGATAACGCAAGATGCTGGAAAGACAAATCAGTCTTAAATATTTTTCAACATACCAACGAAGAGGGCAGACACTTGTTTTTAACTGCTCGGAATTTTTCCCGTTTGTAGATTGTAATATCTCTTTTGAGGGACCAGGTAAAATTTTGAAATTATTCCACTTAAAAGATCATTATGGTAGCAAACTGCATTGTAAATTTCAACTTCGAAATTTACTCAAAATGGGATTTAAAAATTCGCAAATTTACGCGAAAATCTTAAATAGTACCCGTTTTTTAATTGTTTGTAGTGGAGTACAAAATATTTATTTTGTTACAAAAGTAGTATATAATTAGTAGAAGATTATAGACTGATTGGTTTCGGAGAAGACGTTTGTGGATTGTAATATCTCTGTTGAGGGTGGGGGACTAGATAAAATTTTGAAATTATTGCCCTTAAAATATTATTATGGTAGCAAACTGTTTTATAATTTTCAACTTCGAAATTTGACTAAATGAGTTGTGAAAATTAACAAATTTACGCGGAAAGTGCTTCATTGGCAACCGTTTTTTATTAATTACAGTTGAGTGCATAATTAGCAGAAGATTATAGGCTAGTTGATTTTTCATTTCTGAGAGGATGACGTGCGATGGCGGACTTTTGTTTGGAGCCGCTCGCAATTTTTCACGTTTGTAGACTAATATCTCTGAGAGAAAAGTTTGAAATTATTAATGTAGAAGTTCACTATTGTGCCAAACGGCATTATAAATTTCAAATTCAAAATTTGACTCGAAATGTGTTTAAAAATCAATAATTACGCCAAAAGTGCTTTTCTGGTACCCGTTTTTTAATTGTTTATAGGTGAGTACAAAATTTTCACTCTCTCGCCTTAAGAATTCTTCGTAAGAAGAAAACATTATGTAATTGTGCGCCAAAAAAACCTTTTTTGCCGGGCCCTGGTAACGAAGTAGTAGGTAAATCCTGTTGCTAAATTTAGAAGAAAAACTTCTAACTCTTGGTGTAGCGATAATCCATTTTTTGCTGATTCTTCATACCGAAAAATCGTTTGACAGGAAAACGTCTGTCTGTTTCTCTGTGGTCTGTCTACACTAGCGCCAAAACCGTTCAGCCGAATTGCTTCAAAATTGATTTGAATGATGTCGTGGGTTTGGGAATTTCAAACGGATATTTTCATTTTTGAGGATACTTCACAAGCAGTTTGAAACACATTTTAAAAATTTTCTCAAAAATGGCTACAAATTTTTCGATTAAGTTTTGTTGTTCAATAGTGCGAAATACATTTAAGAGAATGGTTCAGATCTTAATTTGGCCAACTTCTCTGATTTTTTGAAAATTGCAAACAAATTGTTTGTGAAGGTGTGTGATTTTTGACTCAGGCAAAGTCTGTTGTACACAGTTAGGTTTTTAAAAAAGGTCATGTACATTGTTTTGTAAAAGGTAGTAGTTTGGGGGTAATTTGCTCTTGAAATATACGATTTAAAAAAAACGGTGCAATTTTTTTTCTTTAAATTTTCTTATCATATGTAATAACGATAAGAAATATGGCGCCATTTTCGGGTATGCTCGGTTTTTCGAAAATTGCAACAATTGAATACTATTCAAAACTACAAAATTGAAGATATTTTTGCCTCAGAAAAAGTTTCTCTGGATAAAATGAAATAATTATATGAGTCTTCATTGCCAGCAATATTGTTTATTACAATAGCAGCTTTCGGAAACTCACCACAGTACCAATATTCTCTGGATAATCTCTTTAGTCCAAAATAGGATTTCAGTTGGGACTTATTCTCTTTCCAGATACCTTCTTTGGCCGCCCAAAGGACATTTTTTTTCACATTTTCTCTATTTTCGACTTCCTAATGCTAGAATTGAAACTATTCGCTTATTACTAGTAAATAAGTGTAAAACATGTGCTACCCGGGTGGCTAAGTGGTGTTTAAGGACTCAGAATCTTCTAAGGAGAACATGGCTGGTTCGGTGAACGTTATTTGTAACAATTCTCTGCTGCCTCATGAAATAATTGATCATTTGAAGCAATTCTAACCACAAATATAATGAATTAAGTCCAGTCAATAAACTGGAAGAGTCTGTATGTGATTTTCGAATTTTCATCTCCTAAACAATTTTCCACAGCTCTTATTGGATTTCTAAAACATCTCGACAAATCAATTGTGTTTCCGTTCTTATGAGTATCACAGAAGTGCCAATTCTCTGTATAACCCGGGTGGCAGAAGTGTGTTAAAATGTATATGTTCGGACTCCGCATTTTGGAGGGAAGTGCCGCTGTTTCGAGCCTGTCGCGTTGGTAATTATTTGTCACAACTCTTTGTTGGTGCTGAAAACTATTGAGAATTTCAGAAACTTTACTGAACATCATTTGAAGCAATTCTACTCACATATTCAATCTGTTAAGATTCAAAATAAACAAAATATGTTGGTCATTTTTGTATTTTGAAATTTCAAACAAGTGTATAACTCTCTTGATTTATTTTTAAAACGTATGTCACAACATATCAATTGTTCAATACAATATGCAAATCAATATAATATTGTGGAGCGTTTAGATACATTGTGAGAAAGTATGTGCTTTGGCAGTACCATTAGGTTATTTTGATTCAAAATTAGTACATAATTAGTAGAATATTATAGGCTAGTTGATTTTGAATTTCTGAGAAGTGGGCGTACCGATTTGACGTCAAGCTGGCACCCCCACTTTTGGATGTGTTTTTTTATTGTTTACAGTTGAGTAAAAAAAATATTGTGGTTCAAAATTATCACAAAATTATAGGCTAGTTGATTTTGTATTTCTATGAAGTGGGGGTTCCAGCTTGTCGGAGGTCCACCTCCGGCAGTTGCAGGGATATCTAGATCCGCCTAGGCTCTCCCCTCCCATACGGTGTTTCTTCCGAAGCAAACAAGCGCGTCATGAGTGGGCAGTTGCTGGGAGAGGGTGGGCGTAGATGAGGAATCGGTGACAACGCCATCGTTGCGTCCCCCGGACCCGTTGGCGGGAAGCCCGCCTTCGCGCACACGGGGCGGTGGGGGGCCGCCCCTCTCTCCCACACGGCCCTCGGAGGCACTTTCTATGAAGTGGGAGTCCAGCTTGTCGGAGGTCCACCTCCGGCAGTTGCAGGGATATCTAGGCCCGCCTATGCTCTGCCCTCCCATATAGTGTTTCTTCGGAAGCAAACAAGCGCGTCATGAGTGGGCAGCTGCTGGGAGAGGGTGGGGGTAGAGGGGGCATCGGTGGCAACGTCCTCGTTGCGTCCCCCCGTGGCGGGTAGGTCGCCTTCTCGCTCATGGGGCGGTGGGGTGCTGCCCCTCTCACCCACACGGCCCTCGGAGGCACTAGCGCGGGGGCGGGGAGAGGGCCCACTCGGCCTCCGAGAAGCCACCCGCCCAGATCGGGGCCCGCTGGGTCTTCCACATCCTGCTCCTCGCTCTCCCGCCGTCGTGGGTGGGGCGGGGGCAGCCAGATAGAAATGCTTCCCGGTAGCCTCAGGCATGGGAGGCAATCAGATGAGCCTGGGGGTGGGGGAGTCACAGAAGCTTGAGTCGGCACGAGGAGATCCGGGCGCGGGCCCATGAGGAGGAATGGGTGAGAGTCCGCTCCTTCGGGTCACGGACTAATATACTTAATTTAGAGAAAATTATGTAATGCCGTGGAAAATCGATTTCGAGAATTCAACGGAAATGCGCATTTTGAGGTGCCCTGATACTGAATAAGGGCTTTTTTAAGGTCCGTCCATCGGTCTGTGAGGACCTCTAGCGCCTAAACCATACGTAGGATTTTTTTTTTCAAAATAAACATTCTCCAGTAGATCTGGCTCGTCTCAAAACATGGCGATTTTGAAAAAAGTTAAATTAATGGGGGTTCTTTACATGAAACCCTGGGACATCTTCAACATTTTCTCAAAAATAGCTCCAAAGATTTCACTTAAATTTTTTGAAAGGATAAAATAAAAATGTGTTGTTTTTTCAGTGTTAACTCTGAATATTCAAAAAATTCAAACCTCTGTTTTTTTTATATTACAAAATTAAAAATAAATCGAAAAATTTGTATTCAGCGTCTTTATTTAATTTAATTAAAAAATAAAAAAAAGAAGCATGAATTTTATTCAGCGTCTTACAACTATAAAATTGAAAATAGAGGTTTTTCCTTCAAATTAAATTTATTGTCTATAATTAGTTCTTTCATTAAGGTCATGTATATATGTTTTAAAACTTATAGTAGTTTTCACGCAATATTTGCAATTTGTAAAAAAATACAAAACAAGATTTTCTTAAAAAAAGGCTCAAACATTTTTCTTTAACATTCTGTAACCTCTAATTTTTCGAACGGATAGTGCTAATTGCACTGTTTAATATTATGTAAAGTTCATTTCGGGGTATTTTTTGCTTTTAAAAAAATACACAATGATCTCTCACGCCGTTAATATGCGCATTTCTAGCAATTTGTAAACACTGTTGTATTTGTGAGTTAAGGTACTTCAAATGACATCTAAAAAAGTTTTTCGAAAGCTCAAAAATATTCTGTGAAAAAGAGGTTCAAATTTCGAATTTACAATAGCACTTAAACACCATTTTCTTCAAAATTGCTTCAATCTTTTAAATGAAAATTGCCATTTAGAATCAGGTTTTTCTTTATTTTAATATTCATAAAATCATATTTCCGTTATACTATTAGGAAATCTTTTTAAACAAATTTATTGTATTTTTGGTTGCAATAGATGGCAGCTGGCAAGAGTATGTGGCAAGTTCGCATAACTAGCCGAGACCAAAGGAAATAGAAAACTAATACGGAAAAGCCTGTGCCATTCTGTAGCGATACTAGTTTATTTTAAGTCGAAACACATAAAGTGTGTGACGTGCTACATGGAGAAGTGTATTTTGTGTTTTTTTTTTTTTTTTTTTTTTTTTTTTTTTTTTGTTTTGTTTTTTAATTCATGGATCTCAACCCTATACAAGTTGAATCCTTAATACAGAAAGAAGTAAGCGTTTTTGGTGAGATTTGTGCACAAAATATTCCTCCAACTCTCCTCTCTAAAATATATTTTTAAAGGTAAATCAGTTATAGATTTGGGTTCTCTTGCCTCATCATGCCCTTCGTAAAGGAACTCACTTCTACTACGCCGCGAAAACAACGAAAAAAAATAATGTTCATAACTATATTTCCCATTGAACTCTACAAGACGTTACATTTCTGTCCAGAAGCAAAACAAGGGGCACACGCTCCTTGGAAGGCACTGCCTAGCGCGGCGGCAGGGGGCGGAGCCGATCGGCGCTGTATCCAGCCACTCGGCGTCCGCGTAGCCATCTACCGAGAAGTCCAGTGTTTACAATGAATTTAAAATTCATGTTGATGCATTCATTAGTGTATTTAAATCGCTTAAACAGGTGCACAGACAGTTGATTTATGATGCAGAAAACAAATAAAAGTTGAAACATTTTTAAAAAGTTGAAAATTCGAACATCACTTACAGACTTCCGGTTTATGTATCTGTATTGATTGTATTTATGAGTAGAAGTGCTTTAAATTATTTTCAAAAAAATTTCCCGAATTCTCAATTATTTTGTGCGGCATACATGAGAGAACAATGAACATGAGAAACAAAGAGTCTGAAGCCAGAGAACCCGTAACCCTTCGCACCGAAGCGACTAGGAGAGTACCTAGTAAGAGCTACTAAGAGAGTATCTGACTCGGTACTCGCCATTACCCATTTTGGCTGTTGAGGTCGGCCCGTGTTTTACTCTTTTATAATATTCGTGAAGTCAAGTTTCAGTTCTACAATTCGGGCGCCGAAAATGTGAAAAAAAAAGTTCTTTGGGCGGCAAAAGATGGCAGCCGAGGAGACATAACCGAAAAGCTAGTCCAGACTAATGAGATAAGAGAGTCCAATACGAGAGTCTGTGGTACCCTGCACCACTAGTTTTACGTTCTCGTAGCGGCTTGCACAGTACAGAGATTATGTAATGGCTGCGGAAAACGGCGAAGTTTCGGAAGAAAAACTTGTTGCTGGGCCCTGGTGACGAAAAAGTTGATAAATCCAATTACTAAATATAGGAGGAAATTTTCTGTTTCTTGGTGTAGCCAGAATCTATGTTTTGTAGGTCCTTGATACCGAAAAATCGGTTCGCGGCAAAAATCCGCCTGTCTGTCCGTCCGCAGAATAGGGTTCAAGATAATGACCTGGATGATTGTACGAAGAACTTGCGGGTAGAGGATGTCTGATGTCGGTTATAAGCATATAATCGTTTTTGCTCTGGGTGTTATGTACAGAGCGTTTTCTATCTCTTGCACAATATCATTGACTTCATTTCGGAAAAAATTGTTGTTTTTGTGTGTGTTTTTTTTTTGTTTTGTTTTTTTTTTTACAGAAAAAAGGCGAATCAGTCGTATGGTATAAATTCCAGATATTCTTCGTATCTTTTATTTTACCCAGAGTTGGTTGTTTAACCCAAGACTTAGATTTATTTTTCGGTTTCGTCTATACTGGGGAATGGTGTTCCAGAATATCATTGGTCGTGTTTTGAAGTGAGGCCAGGATTCGTTCCGAATTAAAATGTCATCATAAAGCAGGACTTATCCAAGGCTCTTTTCATGTTGTTATAATTTGCACTAAAGTAGATTTTCTTTATGACGGAAATTGAGAAGTTACTTTGTGGTGAAGAAATCGTTGTGGTGATACAATAGAAGATCAATATACGTTCGTTGTGATCGCTGTTACCAATTGGAGCGTGCGAGATTGGTGAGGTGAAAGCATCCGCGTCGTTTGTAAAAATCTGATCTAAGATTGATGAGTTTGGCAGGTTATAAATCTGTTTTATAAGTTGAGAGAAAGGTATGGCAGTAAAAGTCTTAAGAAATTTGTGAGTTGCTGGGGATGCGTTTACTGTTGTTGGGTGGGACCATAATAGCGTAGGTAGATTGAAGTCCCCGAAGATATCATTATTGTCTCGTTCGTTGATTGTCCTAAGCTGTTCAAGGATTACATTTGCGAGAAAGTATGTGTTGTTGTAGCACCACTAGTTACAACAGACTTTGTTTTAAGGAAAAATCGTCACCTCGAATTTTGCAGTTTTGAAATGTTAACTTAACTCAATTTTCGAAAAAACTGAGTTGACCGACAATGGGATTAATTATATTTTTTACCTTTCCTTATTACATATAAGGGGAAAATATAAAGAAATTGTTTTGAACGGTTTTTGTTAACATACTTTTCTAATTGTATAAATTTCGAGCAGAAATCACACCAAGTTGTTTTCGCTAAATTTTGCATGAATTATAGTTTTTTTTAATCTTTTTTAAAAACGGCACCAAATAATTGTTTGAATTTTGACTTTGGAAACAGCAAAGGACGCTTAAGAGAACGGTGCAGGTCTCATTTTCATTGCTATCCCTGATATTTAACAAATTGCAAAAATTAAAAAAATTGTCGGCGTCTTCCTTAAAATACAATTATGAAGATAATTTTTGTTGGTTGTCACGTTACTCTAGTAGTCAGCAGAACGAAAAGTTGTAATTTTGGAACGTGCTTGTTAAAAAATAAGAACAAGTATCAAGTAAATTATTTCTGTATTTTCCTTTGTGTGTTTTTGTCCAAACTACACGGTAAAATATTTTCATTACAATTATTTTCTCTTTGGAAAGGTTTAATCTACATTTATAACATTTCCCTTTATGTAATCTCATGTAGAAGTGTTTTAAATTTAATTATTTATGGTCGAATGAGATCATTTTCCTATACTTTGCGAGTTAAAATGCAAGTTTTCAAATGTAATTATCTTTCAATCTGCAGAATTAATAGAATTGGATCATATTTTGAGAAAACGTGAAAAAATGTAATCTTTTGATAGATTTCAGTTGCAACGTTTAATATTATTTTTGACATAACGTGACAATCTCCTCAACGAAGTGCGTTAATCAAAAGCAGGTCTTCAAATAAGGTCTTGTTGAATTTTTCGAAAATATGTGTATTTTTGCATCGTTTTAGACGAACATATTAGATTTTAGACGAACTTAGACCAATTGTTTTTTAAAATTTGTTTCACGCAAGGTAATGAAAGCGGTGCTGGTCCAATTTCTGGCGCACACAGTATTTTCAAAAACTCGAAAAGAAATCAAAATACTAAATTCGAATCTTACATGCTTCGTTTGACGCGCTGGCATTTCGCAAAATGGCAACATACAAATACATTTTCTTTAATGAATAAGTTTTGCGCGCTGGTTATGGTGTTCAGAAATTGTTAGCTCACATCAATGTAATCAATACAAACTTCTGTGAAATATTATTCTTTCTTTTCTGCATAATGTGCTGCAAATTATATAACAGTTAAATTGATTCATGTTTGTTCCATTTGTAAATTTTAGAAATGACAACTGTTCCTGGCTATCGAAATGAAAGTACCGGTTTCGCTTGAATTTGAATTTTTCAAGTTAAAACTGTGATTTTAGAATTATTATGTATTAGTGTTATTACTTATTTTATATTTCGTAATTTTTTCCAATAATGCGAGGAATATTTTTTTTAATATGTGCTGTTGTAGCTTATCTAGTTAACATGTTATCTATTGCTTTGCTTCAGTGCCATCTCCGCCCATCTCTATTGAAAAACTAGTGATGACACTGCACTGGTCAAACCGTATAATCCGAATATTTTCACCATTCTTCCATGTTTCCACGTTTCAAGTTCGAAGTCCTAAAGCACGAAATAAAAAGCGCCGCGTGGTGCGCACGCACAAGCTTTGTGGCAACTCCCTATTGGAGCTCGGATTCATACCTTTATTTCTCGCAACCAGTGTTGGCAAGTTGAGATCACTGATCTCATTTCTTCCTGTTCCTGTCACCGGCTGTGGCGACGGGCCGCAGTTTTATTCTATCGGTGTGTATATTTGTGTTTCGTTTGTGTGGTCGCAACTGACAGGAGGTGAGAATGTTGACAGCTAGGTTGAGTGAAAGTAAAACTGGTTCTAGTTAATTCTTGTCAAATGGATATTGTTAATTATTTTTGTTCTAGTTCTCGGTGTAGAAGCACATTGGCCATCGAGTGTAAAATAAATAACTGAATAATATCTTAATTCTTCATTCAATATGTTACTACCTTCCCACATTTTTGTGGTATCTTTATTTGCCTTTTCTGCGCTGAATTTTGCAAATGCAGTGGACGATTCTGCCAAGAAAGGACCTCGAGTTACTGAGAAGGTAAGAATGACAAACATTGTAGTACCTTATTTCGAAATTTATATAGTGATGACGTGGGTTTTTCCTCGATTTCTTCTGTTTATGTACTGTGGTGCATGAAATTGTGTTACATTATAAATGATTGTTACAGGTTTGGTTTGACATTCAAATTGGTGGTAAAGATGTAGGAAGAGTAGAAATTGGCCTTTTTGGAAAAACTGTACCGAAAACTGTTAAAAATTTCGTTGAATTGGCACAAAAACCTCAGGGTGAAGGATATAAAGGTAGCAAATTTCACAGAGTTATTAAAGATTTCATGATTCAAGGAGGAGATTTTACCAAAGGTGATGGTACAGGAGGTAAGTAATAATTTACATTCACATAATAATACATATAATAATAAATAACATTCATGGAAATTGGCATCGCTTTGTTGATATTACATAAAGGTTTTTGTTTTTCCTTAGGACGTAGTATTTATGGTGAACGTTTTGCCGATGAAAACTTCAAGTTGAAGCACTATGGTGCAGGTTGGCTTTCAATGGCTAATGCCGGGAAGGACACAAATGGATCTCAGTTTTTTATTACAGTAAAACAGACTCCTTGGTTAGATGGTCGTCATGTTGTGTTTGGAAAAGTGATTAAAGGAATGGTGAGTGTTCATTTTTAAGTTCTAGATGTAAATAGACAATATTATGGTACATATGATATTAATTCTGAATTTTGCAGGACATTGTTCGTAAAATTGAAATGTCTAAAACTGATGCAAGAGATAGACCTGAGGAGGATGTTGTAATTGCCGATTGTGGTTCAGAAACAATTTCGGAACCTTTCCAGGTTTCAAAAGATGATGCTACTGAGTAAACTTGTGTATGATTTTTGTGTATGTGAAAACAAAGCAGGGTAAAGGGATCGACTATTTTTTTAATAAAATGAAAGCCATCTATTCCAGCCAATAAATGTTTGTTGTGCTATTTTGTTTCTAAAGATGAGATAATTGTTCAAATCTTAATATGAGACAACCAACAAAAAGTTTTATAACCCAGAAAAGTGTTCACCTTGAGTCAAATAAAACATGCCAGAGCTTTCTGTACAATTTTAATTAGTTTTGAAATAACCCTACATTCACAGCCTTCTCCTGATTGAATGTATAATACTTTGAGGGGTGTAAAAATATTTTTGAAGTTCCTGAGATTGATTAGAAGATTAAAGGAAGTTGGAACTTTGAAGTGAATGCTGCAGTTTACATTACGAAGAGTGGAATCGCACAAAAGTGTAAAAGTGAATTTCATTTTATGAAAATAACTTTAACAACCATCACTTCTTCTTAAAAGAAGAAGCTGGTCATAAATATTCACATACAAATTTCTGAAAATATTTACAAGGTTCTCAGAAAAGAAAGTGATTGTCACAAGCATAAAAAATTTGAGTATTTATTAAATTGTGTACACGTTTTTCATGAAGACAGGAATTTTTATTTTGAAGTAAGCATTCTTATATAATTGTAATTACTAGTTATTTTTAACAATTACTAGGATAAAACTTTTGTTGTAATCTCGTGTTCCATGAAAGTAATTTAATGAATGGAATGTGATGTTATAACAAGGTAATAAAATTGAAGTATAATTATTTAAGATGTGCAATTGTTTTCTAGTGCCCAGATTTGTCTTTGAAGCTACCAACTTAGTCATGTACATCTTTAAATCTGAATTATGAAATTTGCAATTATTTTTGTTTCTCACTATGGCAACCAATTTTCTCAAAATAATAGTTTCCTATTACCATCAAGTTCATTTAAATGGCAGCAAAAAAGCATTCAGTTAAAGGTATAATTAATAGTTAATCCAGTTCTAAAATCTTTCAAGAATCAGTGAATGGTAATATAAGTAGTTCATTGGTTACAGGTGTACCAGGTGCTAGTGATGATCCCCTAGTAACAGATAAGGTATCATTGTAGATGTAGTTGAAAGTGTGAAAGAGCTGAACATTTTGAAAATGTAGTGTTTCATAAATGTTTTTAACTAGTCTGTTTCCTCCCCTCAATTTAATCCTTTTTCACCTAGCATGCCCATATGGGCGTGTAGTACAAATCTTAATATAGTTCTTGTTTTCACCTCAAAATATTGTAGTAATGCCATTAGAACTTAAGATGTAATGGAAAACAATATAAACAGGTGTCAGCATTTGCATTTCAAAATTCTGAGGACGTTTCATCACCCAAAGATAATTCGTTTTTATGCTTTTCTACGGGAAGCAGTTTGCATGAACAGGATGTAATTTTTTATTTTATTTTAATGGAGATTCTTTAATGCAATTTTTTACTATTAGATATCCATTTCCTAAATAATAACTTACACATGCTGCACTTATTGAATTTTTTTAAAATATTTCACGGTGTTGTTTTACTTTGCCCATAAGGGCACATTTGATTTGTTAGTTGGAGTTATCACATAACAATGGATATTTGCATTTTGAGACCAATTTGATGAAATTCTGATTTTTATTAATGTATCAAATATTGAAGATTTATTTTTGGTGCCACTTAATTGAGGACCAAGATAATTTGAATGATATTTTTTTGTGGCACCATATTGCAAGCATCTACTGATTGACTAATTATTTTTTGTTACCGGTTGTGTCAACTGCAACATTTCAGTGCCAAGGAACAATAGTTACATGAATGTAGTGCATGTTATATCATGGGAGGTAGCAGTGCTAGAATGTGAGATCAGGTGCTGACCTACACAACACATCAGAAAGAATCTGCAGAGTTAGTGACTTCTTCTGAAAGTTGCATATGTATCTAAGATCTTGCCGATGATTATTTATCTCTTGCAGCAAATTTTTCAGAAGAATTCAATGTATTTGCAGCAAAACTTACACCCAAAGAGAAAATGATGTCTCGCGTATTCTCAATCAACTTTTCAATGACTAGAAAATTTGAGTTTTGATATGTTCAGCAATAAAAGAATATGAAGCTGATATAAACAGAAAGATATTAACTGGCTAACTGTTCTCATGGAAGCATCACACTGCAATACACAAAGCTTCCGTTGAAAGAGACACCATGCATATAGACCCTTCGCATTGTCTTATTGCAATATCCAACGATAGAACAATATTGGATACAGATTTTAATGTACCAGTAAGAGGTGTGCCTCGTGATCAGGTGGGGTTTGGGTTATTTACTGTCAATTAACAAAACAAAAATTTTCTTTTCTGACAACAAACACGACTATTTCAGCTAAATATTTATATTTCAGAGATGTTTAAAGATTTAATGTGTAACTATTTATGGAGCTGTCAATAAAATCATTAAAGTCTTGTAAAATATGAGAGTGAAATTGGAAAAAAAATTTCGCATCTCTAGGGGGCCCATATGGGCTTGGAAGTTTTTTCTTCCTTTGTGGACATTTTTATTAGGATTAAGTTTTTGAATACTTTTTAGTATTCTTAGACTACTTTTCCATTAAAATTACACAATAGTGTAAAGAAAATCTTTAAAAAAAAAATTCTGGCAGATCAGGATTAATGCCTGCAATTTTAAACTTGTTAGAAAAAATTCCTTAAGTGTGTATGACTGATTTTATTTTCTGTAACATTGATGTTATCATTGAAAAACGTTAATGTTACAAAATATTGCACATTGCTTCAATATTAGCTAGGAGGAATTCACTATAATTTTTCAAATGAGGATTTAAATATCACAAGCCCGATGGTTCTCTTACTGTGAAGTATTGGTAAAGATGGTGTTTCTTGAAGGGGATCTAATTCCAAAGTTTTCATATTTGCTAGAAATAGAAGTCAATTCTTATGTGAAATTTTTTAGCACAACAGACATACATGTTGGTACTACAGAGATTCATGTGTGATAATTATTGCTCTATTTTTTTAATGAAATTATTCATTCAGAATTTTTTTTTTTATTTATGAATACTATTTTTTAGTATTTGTGGCAATCTTGCTTGAAAAAAGAAGCTATGAAAAGTTAAACCAATTAAAATTTTGTGTAACATAATGTATAAATGTACATAAATGCACCAACATTTTTAATGAACTCCAAACGTATAATTTAAGTTACAAATGTATAACACCACCATAAAATTGATACATTGCATATTATGTCAAGTAAATTTGGTGATGGTGAGTCTGTAGAACAAACAATGTCAAAAGAATTTTAAAATTTTGAATATAGTATACCGATTTACTATTTCACTAATAAATTATGTCAAAGATTTTCTTTACAGAATGAACAATTTCACTCGTTGACAGTGTTTCTGTAACAAATACAGAATTATCACTTTTGTTATAATATTTGATTGTTATCTGCACACAAGAAGTCCATTACAATTATCTGAACAGAATTAATTTTCTTTTCTAGCTTTAATTATATTACATTTGATTTCATACATTTCAATGTTGACCTGTGAATTAACAATAATTTAAAATACTAGTGACCGGCAGCAGCAAAGCTGGTCAAGTGTAGAGTGACATTTAAAAAAAAGACAAAGAAATTCAGTGAAGAGGAACAAAATCTACTTTTAAAGCTTTTAGAAGATATTACCACAATGAGCCAGATCAACACAGTGCATATTTGTTGGGAATATTTAAACCAGGATTCCAGGCTATTGGTCCAGTGGGTTGCCCATGTAACATACCCTTTAAATCCCCAGTGAAGAATATCTCTTCTCCACTCATCAAATTCACATTAATGTAAGCTACTTCAGAGTTAAAAATCATCCACATGTGAAAACACATTTCAAACTCTGAATTACTCTGCACTTTATCACAAAGTATTTATGCACCAAAGAAAGAAGAGCATTATCTGCAAGAGAATCATATCTAAAGGGTTTTCAACAACAAAAGTAAAGCTTTCATAAAAGCTTTTATTAGTTTTCCCAGTATATTGAGGTGACAATTCAAATGATATTTTTCATAGCATTGTAGGTGATAGGGTTATCTCTCAATTGTGTCCTGAATTATATGTACAGATAGCATCTTCATTATTTTCAATACAATGCAAGTTGCCAAGAATGAATGAAAAACAACACTTTTACCAACGAGAGAACATCCTATGATTTAATAGATGACAAGGCCTACATGTACCGACGGCAAGTGATGTAATCCTATGAGCAAATTGCATTTATAGTTTTATCTGAACATGAAATTGAGAATTGCCTCACATTTTGCACTAATCTAAAAATTGAATTTTTACCACGCTGTTCATGCCCTACATATAACTGTTTTTTATTAGTCGATCTAATAAGTAATTTATGAGCACAAAGTAATGTTTCTCTCCCCCTCGCATCCTCTCACTCTTGCATAGGCACATGTTCGAAGTAGGTTATACAAAATATGATTTTTCCTGGTATCATGAACCCTAAACTAAATATTTCTGTTCAGGATAAATTAATGCCATGTTTTAACTACAGCTTAGTCTTGTAAGTACTTAAGTGGGAAATGGTTCGACAGAGGCACTAAATAGTAAATAAATGGACATTACAAATAAAGCAAGCAAGCACATCAAAATTTGTTTTAAATAATGAAATTTGTAAGAAATGGATAAATGTTTCTTTCAACCAATTCTGAAAAAGGACTGTTTCTGACTGCCTTAAATCATTTACCTCCATGATCTTATTCTTTTCTCAAAACACTATATTACGTTATCTTTCTACAGAATAAACACACCTTAGTGAAACCTTAAAACAAATCTAATATCATACTAAAACTTGTTCCTATAAATGTTCATTAGGAAATAATTATCATTTCTTTATAGTAGTATTTTACTGGGGAACAGTTGTCGTCATTTGAAATCAACTCGCTATTAATTTCTGTGATTGCCTCTATCATCATTGCAATCAATATTTTGATGCATCAGTGATTATTATCAAAACTAATGTGAACAAGAATGTGGAAGGTGTTTTACCCTTTGAAAAATGTTAATAATAATAATGGCTAAAATTATTATCGATGTAAATAGGCTCATATTCTTAAATAAGCCATTTAAGAGCGAGAGTTTGGGGCAAGTTTACAAACTTTCCAAAATAGTGAGTGTTGCCAAGAGATCTGCAGAGTGGTAAAATATTAAAATACATCAAAAAAAGAGCTCTACTAAGGTTTACAACTTACTCACAATATACAAAATGGTGCAAGATAAAAACATCTCATTTCAAAGAAGTATTACAGAGGTGCCCATAAATTATGTAATGCTTAAGAAGGGGAGGGAATTTGAGTCAACATTGTTGTTACATAGTGTGTGTTAAATTTAGTGTTGTGTAATGCTGTTTCTTTTTCTCTTCAAAGTACACTGAAATAATTATTAATACATTAACAAATGAAACAAACAAAAAATATAAATTAATTATAAAGTTATGTGTAAATTGTTACAATAGAAATATATTTTCATCAATGGTGTATTGAGTGACTCAGATCACAAAGAAAATTTTCAAAACTGATCTACAGTGTATTCAAGTATCCAATTAAATTGGAACTAGAGAATCTCATCCACAATGCATGCAAGGCTAGTGAAACATTTTCTTGCCTGTATCCTTCCTTCACTCAAATTGTTGCCAATCTTATTAAGGGTAGTAGCAGGACCAACTAATTCTGAATTTAATTATCATACATTTTAATATAGAGCTAATCAAATTAATACAAATTGTTTTTTATTGTTATATAATGTACTTTTACTTATTGTAAATTAGGGGGGTGTCACAAATGTAATGCAATTTGAAGAATCAAGTGTACATTACATGGGATGTATTTGAAATTTGTGGTATACAATTTATGGATGCCTCAAAAGTATTTCAAAATAATTCTTTTGGTGACAAAAAATATTCCAGATAAATATTGATTGTTCAGCTTATTATGCTCCTTTTTGAGAAACAACTTATGTTAAGCTAGTGGGATTAACCTAGAACAAATGTCAACATTCATTTTCTTAAAATATCATCCTTTAGGTCTGGTTTGCTATACAAATTGACAAAAGTGAGCCAGAAAGGGTAGAAATTGGTCTCTTCGGTGAAATTGTACCCAAAACAGCTAAAAACTTCGCAGAACTGTCTACAAAACCAAAAGGACAAGGTTATAAAGGTTGTATATTTCACAGAGTCATTAAAGACTTCATGATCCAGGGAGGAGATTTTACCAAAGGCAATGGAACTGGAGGTGAGACCTAATGAAAGGAGTGTCAGACAGTTCAGAGATTTGTTTGCTGAACATTTTTTTCTTCCCAAAAGGCAAGAGTATTTACGGCGACACATTCCCCGATGAAAACTTTCATTTGAAACATTATGGGGCAGGATGGCTGTCTATGGCAAACAGTGGAAAAAACACCAACGGTTCTCAGTTCTTTGTGACTACAATCAAGACTGACTGGTTGGATGGGAAACATGTTGTATTTGCCAAAATCACAAAAGGAATGGTTTGTACCATTATTTTCAATTGTGTTTATTGTAAATCTGTGGTACTAAGACAACAAAATATGTCAAAAAACCTGATTTTTCAGATGTTTTCCAAAGTTCTTGGGTTTGCTTAAGTTAACATGTTATTTTCCATTGAAGTGTTTCACAACTAACATGATCAGTTTCCTCCTGGCATGACATTATTGTCAATAATGAAATGAGAAATATCAATAATGAAATAAGAAATGGACTTTCTTGACATATCAGGGCCTCTCTTAGTACCACAGAAATAATATTCAATAAAATGTTAATTATCATTGATATTTCAGAATGTTATTAGAAAAATTGAAAATGTTGAAACCGATTCAGACGATAGACCTATAAAGAATGTTGTGATAGTTGATTGTGGAACAGAAGCAGTGCCTCAACCTTTCCGTGTGAAGAAAGACGATGCAACTGAGTAAGCAGTTGCATCATCTACATAACAGAAATGGAAAATATATTTTTGAATAAAAGATGGCCTTTTATCAGGTTATTTGATTATTTTTCTTCAGTGCAGATACAGAGATACTTTCCAATTATTCGTATGAAAATCACACTATTGTGAAACCAAGAAGAGGAAGGAAAAATAGTGAATCCAATCCCGAAATACCTTCCACTGCATTAGAATAATATTTTCTTCTGATAAGTTGCATTAGTTAAAAGTTCAAATCAGAACAAAAATGCAAATGAATCAATATTACAATTGCAGTTTTAAAATCTCTCTTTACTTCACATCTTGCAAGGAGATGCTGGATGTGGTAGGATAAATCATTCAACAGCACCAATAATTTTGACAAAAGTGATAACTTTATTTTTAACAAATTAATGTATAAAAATGTTAACAATGCAAAAGATCAGTTAATAAGCATAAAAAATTAATTTTGCCATAAAGTGATTTCCTTAGTGATTTAGTTTCAAAGAAAAGAAAAAACTAGTTGAGTGCTCCACCCTCTCCAGTCCACTCCTCTCGCAAGTCTACTTTGCAGCCCAAGTCTCTCAGAGCAGCTTTAGCATCATATTCACATTGATCAGAATATGTTTGTAGAATATAATTAATTAATTCTTCTGCACCCAGCTCCAGAAAAACTGGGCAAATGTCTCGGTTTCGAGATACCATGTTTCTTATGGCCCAGCAGCCTTGTTTCTGTTAAAAAAAATCTCGTTAGTAAACACTGTGGAAGATTTAAATGATAACCCTCTGCCAAAGATAAACCTCATGAATAGCCTTCAAATATATTGCCATTTCAATATAACTTCTACTGATTACAGCTAACAGTACCTCTTTCTAATTTTTAAAGAGCTAAAGCAAATTAACATATGACTTTCAGCTCTTTTTTATGAATAAAAAATGAAGTCATGACAGAAGTGTGTCTGAAAGGAAGTCACTCATTACCTCTGTCATGTTCTTTAAACTACTATGGACAAAGGAAAAAAATGCAAATTCTAATTTCAAGAACATATCCACTGCCGATTAGATAAGAGAATGTGTTCCACACAACTGCCTTGATATACCTTCACAAGGAACACTGACTTCAATTAGTAATACACAAAGGAATCTCAAATGCCTTTTCCCTCAGTGATTCTTCTAAACATTTAAACCTTATTTTGCAAATCTTACAAATCAATTGTTTTAATCTATAATTTAATATTTACCTGCACACTAAGATCTTGTTTGTGTGTTCTCATTCCATCCAGAATTACTTCTGGAGCATCTGCATCACAAAAGGCTTGACTGTTAGAGGAGCTTCTCAAAGTTAATGCAGCAATACAACCATTACCAGCTGCTATCAGTTGAGCTGATTGCTGTAACAAATAAACAAAATAATGGGGGGGGGGGAGAGGAATTATTATGATGTATCAAAAGCCACCTAATCAAAATAAATTCAAGTAGAAGTAAAAAACTCATACGAAACGTTTTATGAATTTAATTTATATATGCTTAAGAATGACACATGTACTACTCCAGTCAGTTTTCTGTTAATGATTAATGTATCTATCTCAACAACAATTGCACATCTTAGATACATATATTTCACATCCCATGAAGTATATTGAAGGAGTAAAGCTATTCCTGCATGTGGTGCTCGTGGATAAACTGTAACATTAATAATAATAAGAAATTTGCTTGAGCATCTCTGATTTTTATTCACTAGTTGGAAAACCAAATGCTACCATTATGGTTGATCATAATTTTCACGAGTGTGCTCCTACTGTATTCTCTATCAACAAAAGAAAGATGTCTGTTAGAGCCTTTTCCTTAAAAAGCAACATCTTTTGAAATGCTGCCTTGCACTAGCGAGGACATTTAATAAGCTTTTGATTTAAAATGACAGAGCCAAATATCTGATGGAGTATTATTTTACACTTTGTACATAGTTATAACTTAAATAAGTTCTGCAGTTGTTAACATTATAGTCTATCGTAATTTTAATTTTGGAGTTATGATAGTGAAATATTCGCTTTCTGTGATCTCCTGACATAAAAAATCAAACTTTCCTTGAATATTGTATTTTTGATCTAAACATATTTTATTTAAAAAACCACATCGACTCTTTCTAGGAACGATGTTCTAAGATACCCCACTCCCTCCTTTATGACATCCACCTTATGTGCATGAATACTCTAATGGGTTATTTATTTGCCACCAAGCACATAAATGACCCCTTTTTGATGAAGTCTATTTTGGCATATTTTCCAAATATATCCAAATAGTAGGAAGATATAATGAAAGTAACTGAATATGATGCAGTATGATAGGATGTGATATATGATACAAAACAATAATATATTATATTTCCATTTTCAGTATTATTTATTGTTAAAACTCATCATACTAGAAGTTACTTCTTGACAGATAGTTTAAAAGAGAAATTGATGCCGATTTAAAAAAATAGTTTTCAGTTTATAATATTTCATATAAATATTGCAACTCATATAAGTATATAGAATTCCATAAAAAAACTACTAATTACCCGAAGTCTTGTCATGGCCATGACAATAATTGATGCTGCTCCAGCTTTTATAATTTCACCTTTCACTTTGTCACTACCAGCGAGTACTTTCAAAAGCCGCATGCATTGACGATTCAATTTCTGGACACAGGGAGATTCATTAAGAACATACAAGTGTAAAACTATCCATGAATTATAAATTTACCTGAGATTATTACCTCACTATCAGGAAAATTGACAAATACGTCTAGAATGTAGGATAAACTTTCACCTTCTCGAATGTCAAGAAGTTTTTCACAATATTCATTTCTTACTATCACAGCAGAAAGGGTCAGTATTACTTCACCAACAACTTCTTTCTCAGACTTATATTTTTTTAAAAGTTTTATCATGGTTGCCAATGTTGCCTCTGCAATTTTTCTAGCATTTTCATGAGCTTGACCAAATTCAACACGTATGTCATCATCAAGTGTGAGAGCTCTAAAAGTTGAAAACACTCCCTTGATTATTGAGGGAACTTCCAGTGAACTTTCCAACACATTTTTTAGTAGAGGTATGCAGTTAGATTCCACAATGCTTTGACGATTTTCTTCGTGTTTAATACAAGCCACTTTCATCCAAGTAAGTAATAGATTAAGGCAGTTTTCATCAAGTTCTCTTTCTAAGAATAAAGACATGTTGTAACCAACGTTAGAACCAAGAATATCTGGCTGGTCAGTAGTGATATGTATCAGAGCTTTCAATACCATGGCACAGAACTCTACATCATCTGGAAATCTATGCAATATATCAAAAGCCAGTCTCACAAAATCAGTTTTACCCATGAATACTTTATGACCAGTACTTTTTCCACATGCTTCACAAAGAAACTTAACATCGTCAATAATTGCATCTTTATCAGCACCTTCGTGAAGGAGTTCATCAAGACTATTAACTGCAATTTCAAGAGGTCGAATTTCTTGTGGCGGAATGAAATTCAATGCAATCGATTTTCGGATGTTTGTCAGATCGACTCCCTGCAAGAAAATAAAACATTCCAATTGTCATAAAATGGAAAATAAACTTTTAGGGAATTAAATATACTTTTCAGGAGAGTCCAATTTCAATTTTCAAATCATATGGCATCATTTTTGCGAGTCCATTAAATAAATCCCTTTTACAGGAACTGGATGAAATTACTCATTGCAAGGCAATGAGCTAATTTACTGTCAAGAGACCTAGTATTTTAAGATTTTACTGAGAAATGTTTTTCTTCAACAAACCCTTACTATTCCTATCAATTTCTTAAGTGTTTAAAGTAAATTAAAGGTAATTTTTATGAAATTATTTTGTTTCATGCGACCTCTAGTCATTGCTTCAAATCAGGTAACACGAAGAGTGCAGACAAATTCACATTTTTTTTAGTCCTGACCTCTTTCCTCTTTTAATTATTACCAGGAAAAATTATCTATCACATTAAAATTTTGAATACAAATGTAAATTAATATTACGATATCCATTACACTACAAACCTAGTTGTTTGCTGGAAAGTATAATTAATTTTAATACAAATGAAAGTTTAACAAGGCTATAATAAAGATGTTAATTTACCTGAGCTTGTAATTGAAGCACAGCATCTTCTACAGCTTCTTCAGGGGTTACTTCTAATTCAGTGACAATTTCTTTCACAAGTTGATTGAAAGCATCTTGACTAATCTTTCGAGACATTGTGAAGTTTATAATTAGAGGCTCTGAGAATACTACAATGAAAAACGGTCTGAAATAAATGTATCCAAATACGTTAGAGAGTTCATAGGCTTAAAAATATTTTACAATAGAAACTTAAACAATCATTTTACACCATTAACTTTTGAAGTGAAGTATGATGAAGAAGTGAAGTTATCAGAACTTATTTTGAAATTAAGAAACAAATAAAAAAGTCAAAATAATGTTTGTGTGAAGATTGCTTGAGTGATGCCAATGGATTCCAGTTTTAAACTCAAATGTTAGCTAAACGCCAATTAATATGCATGAACTAATCACAATGCAGTAACTTCTGCAATATTGAATAAACGACGAAATTTTGTGTTCAAAACAAAGACAATATTAAACATAAATAACATTTCGACGTGCACGTTTATGTTGTACAATTATCACTTATGACAATATTATCATACCTTACAATCGCTTCATATAACTTGTTTTCACTGGAAACTTCACTATTTCCAGGGTACGTCTCTCGTCGCGTATTAAATCTTGAAATACCTTCTAAACGTCACGCAAAGGTTTCTGTTTCATAGAGAATACTCTTGTGGCTTTCAGGACATGAGTTTATCGTCCTGCGGGTAAAGTTAATACACTCATTTCTTAGTACACGAGCAAACAACAATCCGGCCTTTCTTACTCTGGTCTTGTTCACGCTACTTAAAAATATATATCACACAACTGTCAAAATCAGTCAGAATCGCTCTTTCCACTGTTGCGCTGCGTTAGCTGTAGGCGGCTATAGGTTTACTGGAGCCTGAAGCTTGACAATCTGGCTCTCTCTCCTTATATAGACGACGGATGCCTTAGATGGAAGAGCAAGTTAGGGTGCACACCGAATGCAGAGCATTTGTCATTGAATATCGGTGTGGATTTCTATTTGATTAGAAGAAATAATGTTAACTTTACAAGGTTGAATAAAATTCAGCTGCTGTCACAAACATAAAGCACTTGACAACCTCACACATTTCATGCAGTTTTAAGAAACGACAAAACATTACGCTATGTGTTGATTATAGAATTAATTTCGAAAAAAATTACGAAGTAAAATATTAACGATCTTTTAAATTTTATCCGAATGAATTCTAACGATTTGGATATACTTTGATAAGATTCAGATATACGAAGTGAAATGAAACTGACTCAAGGAAATGACAGGTTCGTTAAGTTCAACACGTTTCGTAAATGAGCAATCCTTACAACCTTGTTCATACGGTTTTTTATTTGTTCTGTAATGAACCTTCCCGTTAGGAGATATTCTTCCTTTGGTTCGATATCCACAGGAGCAATTAGGTTATTACGTTAACCATTATCTTTCCCTTCAAATTGGGAGCTCATAGGGAGTTTTTGCACCCTCGAACCTTCAAGATATCGACATGGCAGAAGTATCGATATCAATAGGGAGTTTTGTGCACCCTCGAAAGTTAAAGACTATCGATCTTCTGCGCATGCGTAGTTTCAATATTCCAGAGTCTGCGAAGTTTAAGTTTCGCATCACTTTTGTGTATCTGCGCATTCGTAGAAGATCGAGTGTACTGTCCGCTATGGCGTGCACAAACTCCGTATTACGGGTGAAATCGAGTGAAAGTGCATGTTTAGGTCGAAACTCGAAGGGGGAGAGGCTCTGGAGCTTCGTATCCGACTACAGCCACTGAGCTTTTCTCACCAGTTTGCGTCACAATATTAGCGGGAATTTTAAATGCAGCCCGTTACCAAAAATCGGCACCTTATAACAAGCCAATGAATCAGATATATGAAGCATTCTTTTAGACGGACATTTGGAGTTTACAACAATAACACCCTCTTAATTTTGGAGTAGGAAAAAATAAATATTTTCTCACGACATATTCTGCTAGTTCTTTGCCGTTTCTTTCCTCGAAAAAGAATTCTTTAGTCTATCCACCAGTACGTTTTTTCTTTCTACTCATCTTTCTATAACATTTACATCACTAATTTTCTTTACTCGGAAAGGGCCCGTCCACAATGTTTGAAACTTGCGCCCAAGATCGGGTCGAAAACTTATTTTTTAACAGCAATTGTTCATTCATTTTTTAACATTATATTAGCACAGTTTTTATCATATTTTTTACTAAAATGTTTCGTCTGATTCAGGCATTGGCGAGCGGCTTCTCGACAGCGCCCTAGATTTTTTCTCGTAAAATTTCCAATATTTCACTAGAATTGGGTCGTGGCAGCGGCCGCGGGATCTGCCTCTCGAAGATCTGACGAGGGCATGAGCTCGATCTTGGAGGCCCTGTGGGGCGCAGAATTGATGACGGCTGGTGCAGAGGGAATCCAGCGATTCCCATCGCGGAGGTCTTCGCTCACGTAGTGCCGCAGGTACTTCAATGCAAACGTAAACATAAGCAAAACGCATACGCGTAAACATTAACATAAGTGATAGACTGAAGTATTCACAATGTCCAACATAAACGTAAGTAAAATAAGAGTTTCTATTGTCTGTGAGACATTCCAGTTTACTAATGGTTAGATGTGAGAATCGAATTTGAGGTATGGACTGTGGCCCATATGGCGTAAGTTCGTCTGTCGACTTCGCTCCTCTTTCGATTCTCGATTTTGAGTTAACGTTCTGTGATTGGTTCATTTCTTATGTCTTAAGCATAAGCACAGAAGCTTAAGCTTTCAAGTTAACGTCCGTTAACGTCTTACGAGTTATGCTCACGTGAACGCATTATGAATGAGTCCGCTTATGGAAGTGGTCCTAACGTTTATGTTAACGCCATGCTTATGCTTATGTTCATGTTTGCATTGTGAATGAGCCTTTAAGGTGCAGTGCGACCGCTCCAAGGTAGGCAGTGATGTGTATGCGCTTAATGCGGAACAGCTCACACATCTTTGCAAAAATCTCCGAGGTGAAGTTGGTTCCCCCTCCCCCATCAGTTTAGAGTAACCAAAAATAGCTATACAAAATAAGCTATTTCTTGGTCGGTCTGGTGCAGCTTGGGAACAGCTATCAAATATTAGGAGAGAGTCTTGCAATGTGAGAATGTAGGAATTACCTTGTGAAGTGAGAGAAAAGGGTCCTACTACGTCCATATCCTATCTCTCAAATGCCGAAGACGGCATCGGTGTCAAAATCATCTTCGCATTTGCTGTTTTTCCCGGTTTATTTTTGTGGCGAGATGGGCATTCTTTTATGAATTTACTCATCTTTTTACACTTATTTTTGAAGAACATTTAAGTGTTTACTTATTCGCATTTTCAGTTCATAGTCGTCACTTACAGGTTTGCTTAAGCATTTACTTATTCTTATAAGTGAGCTTATCTGTTCCCGTAAGTAGACCCTTAGTTTTCAACGTGGAATAACATAAAAGATTTTTATGAGTTTTTGGAATTATTGAAATCAATAGGGAAGATCGTTACCAAAACGATATTTGAAAGACATGGAAAATCATTTGGAAATGCATAAGCAACAAGAATTTTAAAACAGATATCTTATTTATTTATTTAAATTGCAGACCACCTATTTTGCAGGTTATCCTACGCGAACAATGTTTTATAGGCTATCTTACAATGATCACAATGCATCAAACGAAAAAGTGTTTTTATTTTATTATTTTTTTCAGTTGGTGTGTGTAGATCTCAAAAGAATAAGTCGGTCCTGAGTTTGTACATTCATTACAGAAATATCTGAAGTGGTATCAAGAAATATTAACAAGTTCATAAAATTCCCTTCATATGTTGTACAAATATCGTACGCCAATAATTATACTTACTATTCTCGAAAACATCGGAAAAATTCTACCATTAGCAATTATCCGCACAGGACTTAAAGCATCGAAGCAACGAAAGGAAATTTATAATTTATTTTCTGTTGATAGTCTATCGATGAAACCAAATGCTATTCATACGTATAAGATAACTGCCAAGATTGTAAACAAAATTCACACGGTCTTTTAGATTCATCACCAATAAAGCAATGCTGCCAAATATTTTGTAGTGAAATATTGCCTGAGTGCGACTCTCGAATAAGTGGGGCCTATGAATATGGAACTATCATAAGGATTCACTTCTTTTATTTAATGTTTATTACTTTTTCTTTTCGTAAAAGTGTCGACTATGAACACTACACACATACAATAGACAGGCAAAAGAAAAAGTGCACATTAAAACAGGTTGAAGCCGAATCCTTGTTGGTAAAAGCATATAAATATGTACACTCCTGATCGAGATATGGCATAATATTCTGGGGAAGCTCATCATGCAGTACCCAGACCTTTGGACAACAAAAGAAAATTATTCGAACAACGAAAAAATACCATCCACGTGATCTGTACAAGCCTCCCTTCATTGAGCTTGGAATCATACCATTGCTTTACCTATTTATTTATGAATCTGTAATTTTTGTCAAAACTGACTTACTTAACAGTGGGAACATATTTTAATGCAATACTGATATTTACAATTACAACACACACCGTAGTAATTCATCAAATGTCACCTTCAACGGCTCACTTCAAGAAATCCACATACAATACATGTACGTCACCTTACAACGCATTGTCAGATACATCAAACAAATAAATTTGGCACACAAATTTAAGTTAAAAGAAAAATCTTTTCTGCTGCATAACTGTTTTATACAATTGGAGACTAAACTGAACATCAAAAATAAAAAATGTTTATTATAACAAAACGATATATAATGCATTAATTTACATTTGTAACCGGGTCAATGACCCTCATCTCGATCATGTTTTTGTCCAGTTTCCCTGATCCATTGAGCAAATGCTGAGATGGTCCCTTGTTTGCTTCTGGACGTAAATGTTGCTTCACTAGGCGCGCGTTTTGTCGAACTAGCTTGTAGTGGTAGGAATAGAGCTGGGGGTGAATTGCTATTTTGTTGGCAATACAGAGGAATCAAATCTGGAATTTGTTTGCCGAAGTAAATAAGTTTTCTGTAACTCGGAAACGAAAACGTCTAGTTTCTACTAATGTTGCTAATCTCATGCTTTTTTCAATATTATTATTATTATTATTATTATTATTATTATTATTAAAAATTTTATTTATCTTTCAACTATTTATAGTTCAATTGTTGGGAAGGTATTCTGGGACTCAATGCGCAGTTGACTTTTTTCCCCCATGCATCACATAGTTTCTACTGTTTTTTGACAAAGTGTATTCTTTTTCTCCATTCCTGTTCTCTGAGGATTTTCCTCGTGGCCCACAGTTGGCGAGAGTAAATTGTATATATTTCATTAATTTCAGGCAGAAATTACGCGAAAACTTCTTTTTTTTTCAAACAAATGCATCTGCAATTTTTTAATGAGCTGATTTTTTCAACATATTTATGTCTGGGACAAAATTCTCTATCTTCCATTTTGTAGTTTCCAAATGTAAATTCGCAATTTTCGAAAATCCAAAGAGTTCAACGAAAATGAGACTTGCGCGCATCTTTTAACGACGCCGAAAAAAAAGTTTTGGAATTAAAAAAAAAAGTCAGCGAAAATGAGACCTGTACTATTCTCTTAAATGTCCTTTACAATATCCTTGAGCGTCCATTACACTATCCAACAACAAAATTTAATCAAAAACTTCGGTGCCATTTTTTTTTAAAATGTCGAAGGGGCTTCATATAAAGACCCCCCCCCATACACACACAAAATTAAAATGCCCACGACTTCATCCAGATCGATTTGGAAATACCAATTTCGGAGAAACTAGGCTGAACGGTTTAGGCCTTGAGGCGCTAGCTTGTGCATGGGCGGTCGGAGTGTGTTTTAAATTTTATTTTAATTTGTTGTGTTACCTTGACGTAACGCGTCTCAAAACTCCTACAAGGGCATTGAGCGCTTTGCATTTGCCTTCCTGTCACATGTTTGTCTTTAAATTTGTCTGTCCAGTCTCGTCGCAGTCATTTGTCAAGAGGACCGCTTGGTCATCTTAGCGTACGCGTCTCCTATCAGGCGCTCCTTCGTCACTACAACTTGTACCCAGCGGCCAGAATGTGGCCGGAATAAAGACAGGAGTAGGGTGCGATAAAAAGAAATTGCCTTGAGAGGGGCAGCGTACACAACGTACTAGAGGAAGTAATTTACTATATATAGGGAGAAGATTTATCCACTATTTCGTTACCAGGGCCCGGCGAATAGTTTTTGTGACGAAAATTGGAGTTTTTTCCCCCTACAGCATTACAATACTTTCTCTTACTGCGTAAGCAGCAGCGAGAACAATAAAACCTGCTTACGTTTTGGCCACTGGTGTTGTTCACAGACAAAACCTTTGTCGTTATCCATTCTTCTGATGGATTGTTTGGACATGTACCAAAGGAACTAATTTACAACATACGTAGGAACAAGATTTATCCACTTTTCGGTATCAAGGTCCGGCAATAAGAGATTTTCTGTAGAAAAATTGCCACTTCTCCCAGAATTGCAAAAGTTTCTTCAGTGCGTTAACACGACGTGTGCAATAATGTAAAAATCGCTCAAATAGTTTTCTTAATATGGCATAGGTCCCATTTTCATTAACACTTGGAATTTTGAAAATTTCCAGAATGGTTATAGATGTCTCAAATGTATTCATAATCTTTGACAGAATACTAAATCCTAGGAAGAAACCATGAAGAATCTGGTTCCATTTGAATCCTTATGCACCTATCATTCTTTAAAAAATATATGTAAATGACACTATTATTTACACTTTTATAATGATTTTTTTTTTTAAGTAATCAGTTCGGACTTGCCACATACTATTGCCAGTTGCCAACTATTGACCCCCAAAGTAAATTTTTTTGATATTTTCTTATTTTTCTGATTTCTTAATAGTAGAGCGGAAATATTCAAGAACAGTAAAACCTTGTTCTAAATAGCAATTTCCTTTGAAACATTTGTAGCCGTCTTTACGAAAATGGCTTTGCAGAAATTAGTCCAATAAGCATGGAAGCGTGAAGGGAATATTTTAAAGCACTGGTTACAGAAGATATGCACAACTTTTGCTGGACATGGTAAACAAGAGCACAAATGAAGAAAATTTACACATCCCATTGGATATCAACTCAAGAAGTAATTAGAGCTGTAAAATTAAGTAAGAGCAGTTGATCATGACGGTCCTGGTAAAATATATATTACTCCGAGTATACATACGTACACGGGAAAGTAAAAATTGTCTCCTGGCCCATACATCAATTATTTTGATTCAGAGCAGATCGGTCACTATGATCATCAGTCCTACCTCCTCTGCACAAGAGTTCTCGTGACCAATGTACACTGATCCAGTTGCAACTACTCTATGCTCCAGTCATAAGTGGTAACAGAATGCATGTAAGTGGACTGGAGTACAAGGATAAGGCAGGAAAGATGGCATGCAGAACGTTAGTTATGATAGTACTGCAGCATTCAACTGGTATTGATTGTAGAATCGACTGAAAATGTCCATCAGATCACCTGGCAGTTAGAATTCTCATACAGACCATGGCAGAACTCCTCTCTACCTAGTGTCGAAAATCTGCCTTCTGGAAACACATCTGAGTGTCAAGGCCAATCACAGCCCTATCAAAACAGGTGCATAAAATATGACGTTGAAGACTTTAAGGCACAGTAGGATTAAGTGTACATTAGCTAATATGCGATACTTAGGACAGAAGTAGAGCTATATTACACGAAGAGCAGTCAATAATATGAGACAGGAACCATACTGCTAGTGGGACGGTTCTACTTCTAGTGAGAGATAAGGTGTGTGGTTTTTTTCCATGGAGTAAATCATAAGTTTCTAATAACGTACTCTCATTAACCTCAGTTGATGCTTTGTGAAGTATTTTCAAAAACTACCTTCAGTATGTGCAATGCATTCTTTCCATGGCATTTTTTTTTTTTGTTAAAACACTTCTTGCAAACAAAACTCCTCACTCCTGAGCAATCACCTTTCTTAAGCCAGCTCCTGTAGCTGTCAACTTTAGCCAAATGATATTTGAGTGAGTAGTGATTCTGGGCACATCAACTGCTAAGGTAATTAGTCACGTAGGTATATGTTTAAATCGCTTTTGTTAGGGTACTGCTCCCACATTTGCCTGGTGTTGAACAAAGAAACCACAGAAAACTATTAATCAGAGCGACTGGCTGCTAGAATTCTCCTCCAGACTGGTAACATAGATCAGCTTGTCAGCAATGGGTAATCAAGCATCATGTTCAAAGTGGCTATTTGTTGGAACAAGATGTTTCATTTCTACGTTAACAGCCCAGTCAGGCAGGCTACACTTGGGTGGAGAGAGCCTTGATTTGGATAGCAGCTACGCAAAATATGTGTCAGGGACCCACAAATTATGTTTTTCTGTTTCTCTGAAAAATTGTCACTTTTTGCTTAAGCATTACATAAGTCTCTCTTTCTAAATAATAGACATGAGAAAATAAATGAGGGAAAGGATTAAATGGAGGTAACTCAATACCAAAGACAGTTCAAAGGAAAATAAGTATAATTTAATGAAAAGTATTTCTCAGAAATAAATAACAGTGAAGAGAATAACTGAAGTACAGGCACAAGAACTGAATGAATATAATAAAATGTTTTATGGGAAAACTGCCACCTTATGCCCAAATTATTTATTGGAGCTACACGCAAAAACATGTCACATACATTACTGAGTATTGTGTGTAGCTTTGGAATTTCATGATGGGAATAAAGTTAAAAATATTGCTTGAAATTTAAGGTCTGAGTGGAAAACAATTCAGTAAAGTGTGTATGAGCTAAAAATTCTCTTCACTTGCAAGTACATAATTGTCCTTCAAAGCTTGGAATTTTTCAATAACTACTGGAATAGTGAATTCACCGTGCACTTTGTTATCCCGAGTACGAACATTCACTGTCTGAGCTCCTTGTTCTTTTTCCCCAACAACTGTAAAATTAAAATGAATTTGCATTATTATCTATTTAATCAATATTTTGTTCTTATTTGAAAACTTAGCAATAGCACTTACCTAAAATGAAGTTGTACTGAGATAACTGTGCATTTCGTATCTTCTTATTCATGGTATCACCTGCATCTATATCTACATCACAATTGAAACCAGCAGCAAAAATCTTTTCTTTTACCTGAAAATCCAAATAGATTAGAACAAATATTAAAATGTCAACAACATTAAGGGAATATGAAATCTTACCTGAAAAGCATAATCATAAAATGGTTGCCCAACAGGAATTACCATACATTGTCTTGGAGATAGCCAGAACGGCCACTTCCCAGCATATGATTCTGTGAGAATAGCTATCATTCTTTCAACAGAGCCCAGAATGGCTCTGTGAATTATGACAGGCCTCTTCTTTTCCCCACTTTCACTGTTTAATATAATAATAATTATAATAGTAATAATAATAATAATAATAATAATAATAATAATAATAATAAGAAGAAGAAGAAGAAGAAGAAGAATAGAATAAGAACAAGAACAGTGATAATAAGGTAATGGAAAACTGAAAACTAGGTGCTACAAGAGCACATATTTTCTCACAATATTTCTAACTTTTGCAATTTTTGAAAATTCTGTGAGAATTCAACAAATACGAGACCTATAGCATTTTTTTTACATATCTTTTGCTCTACCCTTGGAAAAATTTTTAAGACAAATTAGGAGCCGTTATTGAGAATATATGTTTTATACAAATTACACACAAAAACTCATATCTTCAAACAATTGTAAATGATCGTTTTTGAAGATCTGATTCTTTAGAACAGATTTCATTCAAGATAAAATTCTCCATATTTCATATTGTATTTTGGTGATGTACATATTTTGCAATTTTAGAAAATGCAGAGTTTGCCAAAAATGGGACTACTCATCCAAGGAGAAAATTTAATGATAAAACTTGGAATCATTTTTGAGAAAAACAACAGTTAAATTGTACATAATCTTATTTCAAGATAAACAGATTTCATTCATAAAATATGATTATCTTTAATATTATAGCTGTTGAAAGATGCTGAAAAATTTTGAACTTTTGGAATTATCATATAATCAGAGTTTTTGATGAAAATGAGGCCTGTTTTATCAAGTTTTTAAGCACTTTTTCATGGACAATGATTGACAAAAAAAATTTGGAGCCTTGTATTAAAAAAACGAAAATAATGAGGTTCCATGTGAAGTATAATAAATAAGTTAAAATAGTGTTTCAATTTCACAGGGTCTCAAGTTCGTTTAGATCATATGAGGAATATCTATTTTTGAGGAAATTATGTGTACAGTTTTGGGACAAGCATTGACCATGGATGATAGATACATAAATACGGATTCTGACTACACAAAATATTGAAGGAAGTAATTTACTACATATAGGGGTAAGATTTATATACTTTTTCATTACCAGGGTCCGGCAGTAAAGACTCTGTTGAAAAATTGTTGTTTTCAGGCACACAATTACACTTTCTCTTCTTTTAAAGTTAAAATGTGACTTCAGCTTATTTTTCAATACAAATTAAGAGAAACATGCCCCTCACCTGACATATCCCAAATTAAATCGAATTGGTAACTGGAAATCCAACTGAATTGTAGCACACTGATGGGATCTTCTCAAGGCATCTTTTATAGTAATATCTATTTTAGGTCCATAGAAAGCTCCATCACCAGGATTTTCTTTCCAAGGCTGTCCAAATTCATTTAAGCTCTCGGCTAGTTGCTACAAAGGTAAAATAGTCTTGTAAATCATGTTTCATGGTAGGAAGTAAATCTAATGGATATACCAATATTTACATCATAAGTTACTAGTCCATTAAACTCCCAACTTACTCAAAAAACCTTTTTCTAAATTACTTTTCATGGAAAACAGAGATTTTATTAGTTCTCTATCAACAAGATATTTCTCAGACATAAAATGCATGTTTTAGAATTGCGATGGATCACAAATTTGCAATTTATATTTGTACATAAAATATTTTCTTTGAATTTTGAAACACTACTTTTAAGTTGATGTGCTTTACAGGTTTTGAATGAAAAAGTAACTTGGTATTTTACATATTTTGAAGAAGGTATGGGACATGTTACAACTTAGATTACTGTGTCAACCACACTGTTTCATGTCAAAATGTTATATATTTGTCTGTTAATCCTTTAAATTTAATTATTCTTCTGGCCATCAATTTTTTTTTTTTTAAGACATTATTTTTAAATGACCAACATATTGTACATGTCATACATTTTTTTCTTTTACATTTCAGTGTTTTTTATGATAAGTACATTATTGATATCAACTATTTTTTGCATTTAAAAGAGTGTAAGAGGGAAAGAAAAAAAAAGACAGTCTGCCAGTTCTGTGAGGGATAATAGTTACTTATGCACCAAGTCCGTTATAAGGATTCTAAAGATCGAGTGGAAAGAAAATGCCCATAGGCTATGTTGCCCAAGATCATTAGAACTAGTTAGCGTTCACAGTACATAATAGTTTTATTTTTAACTTAATTTATTGATTCACATTAACTTATTAACTAGATGTAAACTTGACTTGGTCTGTCTTATCATATTTCCCTCCACAAGAAATCATGTAGCGTCATTAAACAGTTTTCATATTTCCCTCGTAAGTACAATCCTTTCAATTCAGGTAAGTTATGCAGTGATAATCTAGCTCTGAATTGGAGGCAATAACAAGCAACAATGTATCAATAAAAAATAAATACTTTTCTTGTCCTAACAAGAATATGTAAGATCTGAATAATTTCAGAGATTTATGTTGTATTGTATTGTCATTTACATTGTCAGACCATAAGAAAACTATTTATTTAATTATTTATTTTTTAATCAACTGGTGAACTTTCATTAATATATATGAGGGTTTAACTACAGGAGCACAAATGATGAAATATAAAACAATTTGACTTTTTTTGGGGTATAAATGACTTTCTACAATTACACTGGCCTACCAGGAAAAAAAAAACACTACAATGCAATGATATAATTTAAATGTTCAAGTGTAATGTGGCTGAACTGCACTCCACCACTTATTTTTAAAATTCAGATATGTTGGGTATAATTTGTAGATGTTATATGTATTACTTGTAGTTTTCTAGTTATAACAGGTGAGCTTTATTTGAACTGGGTACTGTATAAATTTATTTGTTAAATTTGTTTTTGTGAAAATCATTTTGGCTTCATGAAGTATTTTTATAATTAAATTTTCAGTTGTACCTGATGAGGGAGGCAGAACAGTCTCCTAAACGTCATAGGAAGAATACACAAGGGAATAAAATTATTATGTAAAAATTCTTTGGCAGTTTTCACTCTGGTTCTCCATAATTTAAAATAAGGGACTACACAACGATTAAGAACTATTCTGAAAGCTATTTTGGGTTTGCGACACCAACACATTAAAATAATCACCCTGAATCTCATGAATTGCTCTGATTATAATTCACTTACAATGATATTTTTAATAAAAGCAACAAATCAAGACCAATTTATGAACTTTGCATGGAACTTTTTGATATCATTTTCCTGAAAGTCGAAGCAATAATAATATCTAATGAGTAAAAAAAATGTATAAAATTTCAGGTATTATTCCAAAACCACCCAGCCAACAATCAATTTTACCTTTTCTGCATCATTCCACACACCAATTTCACCAAGATACTTCTCAGGTCTTGTAGACAACACTAAATCAAAAGTGAAGCCAAACACAGAGTAGACATGTTTTAAAAACTCCAATGCTCCTAACATCTCTTGCCTGATCTGTAAATTTTAAAAGAGTAAAATTAATCCAAATTATCCAATTTATTTTTCTTCAACTTCAACTTTTTTCTCCCCATCAAATCTATTTTTAATTTGTTGTAAGTTAAAAAAAATTCGAATACCTGATCTACAGTGCAAAAAATGTGAGCATCATCCTGTTGAAACCTCCTCACTCTCGTCAATCCTGTGAGAGCACCTGACAATTCATTGCGATGCAGTACTCCAAAGTCCGCAAGTCTTAAAGGAAGCTCTCGCCAAGATCTACTTCGAGTATCAAAGATCAAACTGAAAAACCAGTTGAAATTGTAGCAAGAAATTACAGTTATTAATGCCCATCAAACAAAATTTATTTTTCATTCTAAGAATATCAATGGCCCAAAACAATATTTCTCACACTCTGGATTATGGATTTCTATAGTACATTTTCTCTTTTTCCATAAAAAATATCAATTTTTATTTTTCATTGATCCTTGTGCGTTGAGATGTCTACTTTTCAATACTTAAACCCATTTGTTAGTTTTTTATTATTTGTATTTTTCCAGATATTTATGTACATGCTATGTCCAAAATATTTGAAAAGATTTGCATCAAACGTAAGTACAAACGTGAGTGAGTGTATGTGTGTGCAACAAACAAACATCAAATAGCTAAAAACAGACCACACCTGGAAGTAAAAATAGGAGAAGATACTTGAATTCGGAGAAAGGTAAAAGAAGAGAAGGAAACCAAGTTAAAGGTGTAACGTATCATCCTGAAGCATTTTAGGGCATCTGGCCTTTTCCCACAATTCTTTTTTCTCGTTTGGCCCAACTTGAATCATAATAACTCTTTTAATCTTGAAGAAATCTATACGATTCATTTTAACTTTCTCAAATATGAAAGTATACACAGAGCAATACACATAGTATTGCGAAAGATATGTAATCCTGCAGAAAATAGATTTTGATATTTCAAAGGAAATACATATTTTGGAGTTCCCTGATACCGAAAAAGTGTTTCTTTTTTCAAAATGTCCAGTGTATGTGAAGACCACTAGCGCCTAAACTATGCTTAGGATTTTTCCCATTCTGAATAAACCCCTGTCAATCTGGTGAGTGTCAAAGTTCTGCGATTTTGAAAAACTTTCATTAATTTTTGGGTCATGCTGGAAGAGTGACTGAGATCAGGGATCTGCCCATTAACTCTTTCTCGCAACATCAAAAAACCTTCACTTGGACAGCTTGGTCAGTGGATTCTAACTGTATGAAATACTATTTCTGCTGAATGCATAACAAAAGGTTTCAAAAAGTGCTGAGTAAGCAACAGTCTGGATGGCACAGAAGATGATGTCTACTGGAATGAGAATGAAGTACATGAGTTGAAAGACGATGAAACAAGTGAAGATTATGATTGAGTGACATGATTAAAATGGATGTGGTAAAACGGTAGTTTAATTCATGTAGTGCATAACATATTGGTATGCACAAAATGATTTATGCATAATGTTAATAAACATGTAAATAATATAATGTGCTTTTTTCCCTCCCAATTTCATTACCTGGTTGGGAATTGATTTCAAGTTATGGGCCGTCGTATATTTGAGTTGTCTTACATTCGGGTAAATACGGTTATTTGATGATAAATATAACCAATTAAGATTACCCACTAAAAATACAAGCATGATGCAAATTATAACTGGTAGACCTAAGGACTGTTTTTTGTTGATTACACAAGTATTCAAATACAGTTCCTTATATATTGAAGACAGCCATCTTTATAACTATGATACTAATTTGTAATAGATTGTATTGCCGAACGGGTGGCCGAGATCGCTAAGGCAGTAGTGCCGTAGCGATCTCGGACCGAAGGATCGCGGGTTTGAGTCCCACCTCGGGCATGGTTGTGTTGTGTTTGTCCTTTCACCCCCTAGATTCATAACATCATCCTCCATCTCTCATTATCACCTTTCTGAATAACATTCAGAATTGTAACTCGAGGATTTATCCTCACCTCAAGGTGACACACCTTCGACATCGACCATGAACAGTAAAGTGAAGTGGAACGACTCAAGTGGTCCAATGTGGTCAATTAAGTTAAAAAAAAGAAAATAGATTGTATTAATGACAGCTTAACATGTTTTAAGATTCATTCCAATGTTATCATTTTACTTATTCATATTTCTGATTATTTCATATCAAGAAGTTCTGTGGTGGTAGTAGATATCTTGTGGCAAAGTTATACATTGTTTCTGGCTAAAAAAGTCTTTACATATAATGTTACCGACTGTAAAGAACAACCTTCAGTTGGTTTTAAAATTCATAATTTATTTTATTAAGTTCTTATGGATTTTTGTACTTTTAAATATATAGACTGACTCTAATATATTATATTTTGTTTTAGTTCATAATATTGTCACTAGCCTGATAGAATATATATGGAACTTTATTTGAATACTTGTATGATGTACATTAACAGAAAGAAGTATCCTTGGACTAGCAAATACAAAGAAATGCCTAGAAACAAAGCACAACACAAAATGCAAAGAAGAAATGCACAGAAAAATGTTTTTTACGGTCTCAGGATTTGTAAAAAAGAAAACAGAAAATTCTGGAGTAATCTCCGAAAGCAATCCTCTCTACCTTCTGGTGCCCTCAAGTTCCCAAGAAAAAACACACATTTAAGACAGTGCTGCTGCACCAGAAAATATATAAATCACAGAACATGTTACCAACACACTTGAAATGTGGTAAGCAGGATTGTTAAAAATATAATTTAACGGTATTGGGACTGGGTCTTAAAAATATCCACATGAAAACAGTGGTACCAAAGAAATCACAGTAACAGGAAACGTGCTAATGAGATTCCACTTCACATTGCATCAAAACTGAAGCTCGGGGAGCATTGACTTCCCTTAATGGAGTGGTCTGAATATTTTCTGAAGTTTCTAAGTGGTCCTTGAACTGAGAACATGACTTAGAGACATTATTATCCAAGAAGTCATACATATTAAGAAGTGTGGTATCTTCAGTGTTCTAATGTACTCGAGTCTTCAACACACAATATGCTAACTCCATTAAAAGAGATATTTACAACACATATGCATTAATAAATATATCTACATAACTGTGAATGGATCATAAATCAATGAAAAAAGGAAATGAAATTGAAAGTGATTTGCATACCAATGGCCAGGGCAGTTCATTGGCTTCAAAGCAAATGTTTCTTTCTCTGATTCAAAGGAGAACATGTTTTCCTAGAACAAAAGAAATAAGTTTCAATCACTACAATAATTAACATAAAAAAACTAGAAACAAATGGAAGATAGGAATACAGCCATAAATAAAATTCGAGAAAAGGCACTAAATCTATAGAATAAAGTGATCAAGGCTGCCCAGGTGCCGTCGTGTCGCAGGTTGAAGTGCCAACGTTTTGACCATTGTCACAATGAAGGCTCAAGAGCCGTTGGTTCAAACAGCCTTTGATGCGGCATCACCTAGACAGCCCATATTATGACTGATCATGGAAACCTACGACATTACAAAATAGAGCCCTTAAAATCCAGAAAACATAAATAAAATTACCATTGGGAAGGCATTCCAAAGCACCTTAATATGTATAAATTGACTGATAAATACCTACTTTCAATTAATATTTCTTTCTCTCTTTAGTTCTAGATAATAACTATGGACTTCACATGTTTGTGAACTTCCTATTTTCTTTAAAGACCTTGGCATTTTCAATATTTGGCTGAGAAAATACACCCACACATAAATTAGTGACAGTTTATGTGAATTTATCAATTAATTCAGAACATTAACTTAAAAGTCGTAAGTAGTGTGTATAATTTTAGGTCAAACCCTTTAAATCTTCTTGAGCCTTATCAATTGCTGTAAAACAATGTTAGATATGTTCTTTAAACTGAGCGTTCTTTAAAGTATGTAGAACTACATGAATCAAAGTACACTGCAAAATAAAATATATAGGTTTGTATCTTTTTGCGTCTGTGTGTCACACATAAGACGCAAAAACTACTCAACCAATTTTGCTGCAAATTTCATAGTTGGTTCTTATTCGCAATGGGAGTGATTAAAGAGTGATCTGAATTAATCAGGCATGTGGGGGTGTGGTTGATGATGATTTATTCATATACAATGACTTTAGCAACCCTGAACTCTACACAACCTGCCGCGCAGACAAAGATTAAGTAAGTGTATCTTCACTGCACACCATAAATATTCGGCACAAGAATAAGTATTCTGTATACATACACACATACATTTTTCTGAGCCAAATATTGCAAATGCCAAAATATTTATAGAAGACAAGGGGTTTGTATCATTGACATAGCGACAAATGAAATTTCAATATAAACAACTTTCACATTTTTTTTTCAACTTATACTAATACGGAATGGAAATTGAATTAATTTTTTTTAAGCAAGTTTTTCTTCCCAAATACCCTACAAACAGGGGTTGACATACACAGAGACAATTTAAGGCAGCTCCACACATTCAGCATTCACCAAGCACCAAGACACTACTTGCCCAATCATGAACAGCTGATGTGTTCGGCAAATGTTACCTTCTTTTAATGTGTCTTAAAGACCGACACGTGATGGGTAGGGCGAGCACTGAATGTTCGACACTCAACAAATAGCAAGCAAACTCATCCACACTACTCGGGATTCAGTGAGCGGTTGCTCGCTACTCACCAAATAACGAATGTACGGAGCTGTACCTAGATATTGTCTCCCCCCTATCTTTAAATCTGTCACTTCACACTACAATTCTGATCTGACTGTTATTCAGTCTACAGCAAAAGGTTTTGTAAAAAGTTCAAAATACACTATCCATGACCTTAAAATAACAAAACCTATTATATTATTATAGTTTAACAACATTGTACTCACAGCATAGTGGTTCCAATGCCCTGACGTTTGCCACAGCTTGACATTGTAGATGTTGGGAGAAACCACCTCCTGAAATCCTCGCTTTCGATACTCTTTTCTAATAAATTCCACAAGAGTATTATATATATATGCTCCTTTCGGTTGGAAGAAGCATGATCCTGGGCTTAGTTCATGGAAGAAATATAATTCTTGTTCCTACAAATAACAACAAACTTACTCTAACACATTTGGTATAATAATAATAATAATAATAATAATAATAATAATAATAATAATAATAATAAAAAATTTAAGGTTAAGCGAACATGCAATAACAATAATATTTTTTTCACTCATATTAACTCGACATTACAAGTCTTGAAGCACCACCATACATAAGTAAAAATTTAATATTCTTGCTCTAACAGTTTTCATTTTTTTATTTACAACTGAAGTATTCACAATTATTTACATTTTATTTAGTTAATAGAAATGACAATCTAAATCCGAAATTGCTTTTCGTAAGTATATAAAATAACTTATCCTAAAGTAAAGAAGATCTAAATATTGTAACATTGATCTCTCTATTATGTTAATTCCATTCATTTATAGGAAAGCTTCAATTAAGTAACTTTTTAGAGCTTTTTTGAATGAATTTTTCTTAACACCTTTAAACAATTAGGTAGTTTATTGTAGAGTATTGCACCATTCCGATAAGGTTCCTTCTTTGAGGAGGATTTTGCAGAGTACATCCTGTGATATTTTCCTTTCCTCTTGCATTGTATTGATATACATATTTGTTTTGAATAAGGTGATAGTTATTGTTTTTCAGGAGTACAATTACCCTGTATGCATAAATTGCAACAACAGTCATTATTTTATATTTTTTATAAAACTTTTTATAAGATTGGTTGGGATGGAGTGGAAATATGCATCTAAGACCTTGTTTCTATATTATCATAACCCTGTCCATGCTCCCTATACTGGTTGCTCCCCATGTTTCTATACCATATTGAATGAGAGGGTGTATAATGCTATAGTATGTGGTAATGAGCATTTTCACAGTCATGTACTTTGAGAGATTTCGTAGTGTTTATGGCTTTGCACTTTGTGTACCCTTTGGTTGTTTATATCAATATATATGTTGTAATCTTGGTTTTGCTTGTAGAGACTAAATTGGACCATATGAGTTTTATTTATGTTTAAATTTAGATTACTGTGACTTAGATATCTAGAAATTTGATGCTTGGCATCTGTCAAATTTTCTTTTAATGCTATTATGTCTTTATTACTGATTAACGTTGTGTAATCTGTGTATGAGAACAGCCATTCATGATGATGGAATGCCATTCATGTATATTAGAAATAGTAGTGGTCCCAATACTGATCCTTGCGGGACTCCTACTATTACAAGAGCAAAATTCGGTGTAACTTTGTGAATTTTTCTGTTTCCCAGTATATTTGAACACTTTGTGTATGATTTGTTAGGTATTTTTTCATAATTCATGAATATTGCCTCCTATTCCACAATTTTCTAGTTTGTCAGAAAGTGTTCAATGTGACACACTGTCAAGAGTCCTTGATAAGTCCCTAAATGTACTTGCAGTAAACAAGTTATTTTTTTACATTATTTATTATTTCATGAATAAAATCAGCAACTACAGTAATATAAAAAAAAGTAAGAAAGAGTTATTGGTCTATACTTTTCAACTTCAGCGTTATTTTTCTTAAATATTGGTCCCACAATACTAATTTTCAGTGAATCAGGAAAAACACATGCATCTAGTGAGCTGTTAATTAGGTGAACTAAAATATTTACTAGAAAATTCTTGTATATTTTTCACTATTTCTGAAGTAATCTCATCCCAACCACATGTTTTACTATTACTTAGTATTTTGATCAGTTTTTTTAATTTCTGTGCTGGCCATATACAATGAATGTTTAAATCTGGAATTTACACACATTTTTGGGCAAAAGTTTATTTTAGTGTCTGCATTTAGGAAATGATTATTAAACACTTCACAAATTAGCATTGGATCACTCACAAACTCACTCTCATGGTACAGCTTTATATTACTGTGTTTAGTTGTTTGTTGACCTGTATTATTTACAATATTCCATAATAGATTGGAATTATTTTTTAAATTTTCTATTTTGCTATTAATATTTTTCACTTTTGCTTTCACAATTCTTAATTCTTTTGAATACAATTTTCTGCAGCCTTTATAGCTTTCTTTATGTTAATTTATTTTAGTGTGTTTAAACACAATTTTAGTGTGTGTATGATTCTTTCTTTTTTTCTTTAATTTCTATGACTATTTGATAGTTTAAATTTTTTATTTGTTTGGTGACTGCTAGTTTTTTTTAATTGGATATTAAAATATTTACACGATTTTGGAATATATTTCTTAAAATATTACATTTCTTGTCTGAGTTTTGTCCTGTGTGAACTTTAGTCCAATCTTCTTCACTGGTTAAAAAACTAGAATAAAGTAAAAAAGGGGAAAATGACGAGACCATACCTTGCCAATTTTCCGATGGTCTCTTTTGGCAGCTTCCTCCTGAAATTTTTCCCATTCCTTCAACTGTTTTGAATCAGGAAAAGAAATTCCATAAACTCTTTGTAAAGACTCAGCTTCCGCATTGCCTTCCCAGTAGGTAGCAGAATTCTAAAAATTAAAATTAAAATCAAAAATTATTTCCTTGAAAGCAAAATAGACTTTACAAGAAAGATTCATAGTTTATTTTAAATGCATTATCCAATTTTTAGAATTTTATAAAGGGTTTATCTTAAAAGTCTGTTAAAAAAATCTTACAAATTTCATACTGATTCACAACCATCATTGAAACCATACTTGCCTTTGTCACTTTGAGGGCTTTGATCTTCCCTGTATGTCTGACATGAGGACCTCTGCAAAGGTCAATAAGAGGCCCACAACGGTATACAGTGGTTGTAGGGGTCTTCACTTTTTCTTTTAAAATGCGTACTTTAAACTCGTTGTACTATGCAATAAAAACAATGCTTTAGCAATATTATTAAAATTATCATTGTCACATATAGCAAGTTTTTGTTAATGAGAATTACCTTAAACATTTCAAGCAAATCATCTTTCTTCATCTCTAAACGTTCAAAATTTTGTTTTTCTTTAACAATGTTTTTCATTAGATTTTCAATAACTGGAAAATCTAAATTGGAAACCTTGAACACATGAATAATACAAAAATACAGATACAGAATATAAAACACACAATTCTTTGCCACTACAAACAAATGTATACAATCTAACCTGTCTATCGTCAAGGAACATATCATAGTAAAATCCATTATCAATTGGTGGACCATAACATAAGCAACCTCCATACACACGTTCCATTGCTTCTCCTAGTACATGAGCAGTTGAATGCCAGAAAACCTGCTGAGCTGGGAAAAAAAAAGAAAAGAAATCACATTCACGACATGAAGTAATTGATAACACAAATATCTTTGAAATGAAAAATCCACCAACCTTCATCATCATCAAATTTAAGCAACTTTAAATTGCAATCAGAAGTAAGAGGCCGATCCAAATCCCACAGTTCATTATTCACTTTAGCAATAATAGTGTTGTCAGCAAGACCTTGACTAAAAAGTTGCACAAGTGAGTTTTTGTGTATGAAGTACAATATTTTAAAATGATTAAATTAGAAAACAATATTAATAAAATATAAATACCTGCTATTCAAAGTAAAACTTGCTTTATTTTTTGCAGTTTAAAAACAACACAAAACATTTTAGGTGATAAAACCAACCAACCCAATAAGGACTGAGCAAAAAATTTAAACACTTGAAATATTCTAGCAAATGGTAAAAGTGCATTAGTAACCTTCAAAAAAGGTTGAAGTATAGAACATGGTAGAACATAAGAAACATTTAAACTGGCACCTCATGCTTACCCATGAGTATTGAATGTAACTCCATACAAACTTATAATAAGCAAAGCTTAATTAATCTAAATACATTGAAAAACTACTGAAACCATTTTAATGATTGGCATTTGGTCACAAATGTAATGCCATAAGTTAAGGGAGGTACTTTCACCCCTGTATCTTGTAAGAGCTCCATTATCAAATAGATTGTGTGTCAGAATAGCCATCGAAGCGGTTAGCTATGTTGTTGTCGTACTTTTATGTTTCTTGTGCTCTTCTGATTCTTTGTGATTTGCATTTTTATGGGTTTGTGATACAATAGTGAGAATAACTGTGTTTATTTTGTATTGTGTCATAAGGTGTGTTTGGTTGTGATCGAATGAGTGTACATGTGAAGGTTGCCTATCGGTAAGTTTTATTCATTTCTTTCAGAGCGAATAGTGTAATTAGAGGGAGGGCTTCAGGAGACTCCCCTCCGTCTCCTCTACCCCACTCCACCTGCTTCTCCAAAGGCATATCATGTTCTCTACTCCAACCTGAAGGAATTTGGGTAAAACGTTAAATTTTACAAATTACCTACATAAAAATAATTTAGCTAGGAAGAAAAAGAAATTAGAATTCCTAATGCTCTTTACACTCTGAACTTAATGTGCAAGGTAATAGACATAGTAAGTCAAAAGTTATCGTAAAAAATTTTGTAAATCATATCACCTGATTCCTTTTGCAATATCATATGGAGTAGTTCGCCATGACTGTCCTTCTACAACCTTTCCATCAGGAAGGGCAACTTTTATAGGACAGGGCTCCTTTGCTGCAACTTCTGCCTCATATTCTTTCTTAATTTTGTCCCATAATAATAACCGATCCTATATAAATGCAATTGAAGATTTAGAAGGCAAAGAAAATTATCCCGAGACAGAAAAATAAGTTTTGTTATAATACTAGCCTGTATGTATGAGGGCCATGGGTTTAATTCAGAAACTGAGTCACCAGCTCCCTTCTTTTCTTTGGCATCTTTCTTTCCTTTTGCTTTAGGAGGCTAAAGAAAAGGTAAGAAAAGTGGACCTTCAGCAGGGTTAAAGACAATTTATTTAACAACTCAAAGGAGAAAAAGTTGCAAAATGAAGTCTGAATCTCCATATTAAGGGCATTATAAGTTGCATAAAATGGGTTGCATGGGGAATGTTCTCTTTTTATCAACTAAATCTCACCTTTACATCTAGTTTATCATTACATTGCTTTTTGCCATTATCTACATAGTGTAATTCCAAGGAGCCTCCTTTTCTCTCAACAAAACTCTTCCGTTCTGAGCCATAACTCTGAATATGTTTGTACCATCGATAAGCATGAGGAAACTGTTCTGATGGACAACATCCCAAAGCTTCATATACTGATGTATCTACTTGAGATGGAGTAAATCCTTCAAGATAACTCCTATCAGAGAGAAATGTATTCAGTGCTTCCACACCATGTGCTGATGCAAGATTTCCAAACCTTGCATGAAACATTGTTCAGAATTAAGTTTAAAATATTGGGTGACGAAAAAGAACATAGATGAACAACGGAATATGTTCACATTTCATTCAAATCTTTAGATCTGGAAGAGAAAATAGCAACTATTTATTAATGTCGCTACACAAGATACACCCACGTTGAGGGCATGCATCTCATGCACTATAAAAGGGGGAAAAAATGGACCCATGCAAAAATAATCTTTGTTCTTAATATGGAGATTCAAACTTATGAGAAGGCGATTTACAATAAAAGAAATCTAACTAGTAGCAAATCAAGCATTAACAATTATCGCAGGCATTGTAAGCATGTAAATAAAAACAAATTTTAAGCTCTAAAATTCACTACTGCTTTGTATTCTCATATCTGAACGAATCGTAAAGATCGGAACGGAAAGGATAAAAGGGTAAAAAGTTTAGGTTATGGCATGCATGCAACGTCAAGGAACTTTCCCTTTCATTTTTCGGCTCCCACTTCAGAAAATGATGGAAACGTAACTTTATATCAGAAGTTACAGGAGTTGCCAATCTATAAACCCTGAACTGAAAAATGCAAGAAACGTGCTCATGCCGACCGCCTACAAACCATTGAGTACTTCCTGTACGGACTAGCTTGAAATTTGTAATTCCATAGTGATCTGGGCAATGTTAAAATGCGCTTGTACAGCATTACATATGTATGTACTGTTTAATGAAAGTTATCATGCCTTTTCGCCGTCCACGTTGAGTTTCTGAACACTTTGGACCACGCTGTCACTCATGTTCGAATAACTGCATACACAACACACAGCGACACACAGACACGCGGCCGATCACCATAACCACACCAGACCACCCGAACCATGTTATAAAATTTCCATGATTCGCACATCGCAAACATCGATACCGAGATCGAGACGTACGATTTGTGCAACTCGAACTGTGCATGCGCAAAATATCAATAGTGTTATCGATTGATGCACACTAGGGAGTTTGAGTCACCTCGACTTTAAAAAGAACTATCGATCTTGTGCTCATGTGCAGTTCCGCACTATTTTAGTGCATCCGCGCTGGCGCAGAAGATAGATCTTGCTGACGCTGACAAAAGGGAGTTTGTTCCAGCGGGAAGCAATCGACCACATTGAGTCAGCGCAAGCGCCAACTCGAAATGGTAATCGGTCATTCAGATTTATTTAGTCAAAAAACAGTAAAAACTATATATGACGTCATTTTAACCACAAATAGTTGAAAGATGAGTAAACGTTAAATAATTAAAATTTAAAAAAGAGCGAGATTAGCGACATTTGAAAATTAGACATTTTTGTTCCCGAGTTATAGAAAACTTCTTTGCAATTGTAAACGAACTGCAGATTTTATTTTCTACATTGCTAACTCGCCCTTACCTCTACTCCTACCACTTCAAGCAAAAGGAGAGTTCAACAAAACGTGCGCACAGTGAAGCTACATTTACGTCCAGAAGCAAAACAAGTGGCCATCTCAGCATTTGCTCAATGTGTCAGGGAAATTGGGCAAACAACTGATTGGGTTGGGGTTATTGACCCCGAAGCTGAAGTACATTATTTGTTACAAGCTTATTAAGTCTTAAAAAAATATATATTACAGATGTAAACTAATTCATAGTATATCACTGTTTTGTTAAAACAAACATTATTTTTCTTTTTGATGATTAGTAGTCTCTAATTGTATAGAAACAGTTATGCAGCAGAAAAAATATTATACTTCTAAGTTAAATTTGTGTACCAACTTCAATTGTTTAACGTCATCTGGCAATGCGTTGTAAAGTAACGTATATGTATTGAATGTAGATTTCTGGTAGTGAGCTGTTAATACTGACATTTGTTGAATGTGGTTTCTACTTCTCTGTGTTGTAATCATAAGTATTAGTATTGCATGAAAATATGTTTGCACGAAGTAAGTCAGTTTTGACAAATATTACAGTTTCGTAAATAAATAGGCTGGCAATGGTAAGATTCCAAGCTCAGTGAAGAGTGGCTTGCAGGGATTATGCGGATGGCATTTTTTCATTATTCGAATAATTCTCTTTTGCAATCCAAAGGTCTGGGAATACATGATGAGCTCCCCCAGAATATTATGCCATATCTTACGCGGGAATGCACATTTGCGAAATACACGCGAGCTATATGAAGGCGGACAGAATTTGAAAGAATTCTGAATGCGTAACAATGAGCTTAATTTAGTGTTTAATCCTGTTATATGTACATTCCATGTAAGGTTCGACTTAATTGAGAGACCTAGAAATTTTGTTACCTTAACATCAGATAATTGCATATTGTTCATTTTCAATGGAGCATGGGATTGCTGATTTGAAATGCAAAAATAAATTGAAACCGTTATTCCTTCGTTAACTATTAATTTTTTATAACAAACCCATTTGAATCTTCTGAAATCGTACGATTTATCGTCTTCTTTTTGCAAAGAACATTCGTGTCAACGGCAAACAGAACCGTTCCTTCGTTTTTAATAGAGGACGGCATATCGTTTACGTATAACAGAAAGAGGATAGAACCTATGATCGAGCCTTACCGGACCCCATATTAAATTGGTAAAGAATTGGAAAGATAAGTAAATAATGTCCTTTCGTACCAGTACGGTATTTTGAGATCGGTGTTTAAGGTACGAAGTTATCCTATCTAGGGCGAAGCCACGAACCCCTAAGAAGGGAATATTGATAGCAATGAGTTAAAATCAATAAAGTCAAAAGCTTTTGAAAGATTTAAAAATATTCCAATGGGTGCTTCATTTTGATCCATTGATGAAGCACAATTTTCAAGAAAATAAAAAATATCAGTTTCCGCAGATTTTGATTTTCTAAACCCGTGTTGTGAGACTGAAAACGCTTCGTTTTTCCTGAGAAAAGTTTCCATTCACGTACAGAAAAGCCTCTAATATTTTAGAGAAGAAACCTGACAAGAGAGAAATTGGTCGGTAATTTTAAATTTCATTTTTGCACCCTTTTTGAAAAAAGTGGCTTAATTTTTGCTGTTTGAAAATATCTGGAAATATTTCTGTGCATAAAGAAGCATTGAAAATGTGAGTTAACGGATGTGTAAAGGCAGGTACACAAGTTTTGAATAAACAATCCGGAAATTCATCTAAACCAGATGAATATTTATTTTTTAGTTTACTGACTATTCGTAAGATTTCGTTAGAAGTAGTTTCGGAAATAAAAATCATGTCGAAATTTTTTTGGGAAGGTAATGATGTTGAATCCATGTAGCCACGTTTTCCGAATTACTTGCTGCTCTTACATTATCCTTTAAAACATTTTCTACTAAGTATAGAAATGGCGTGGTCGTATTTTTTACGATTTTCCACATCGCTTTATTTTTATTACTAGCGTTCAAATATCCTGATTATTTTTCATTATTTTTGCCTGAACTTACTTTTCTTAAAATTCTTTTGTATTCTCGAAAATAGACATGGAAACCAGGTGATACGTTATGATGTTTAAAAATAAAGTAAAGTGTACATTGGTTTTTACACAATGTTCTAATTCCTTGTGAGATCCAAATATTATTTTTCCGTGAAATGTTTAATTTTATCTTTTTGCATTTGTTAGAGTGAAATGAAAGCTTTGAGAAAAATATTATATTTTTATTAGTGTCAATAGCGTTATAAACTGTTTCCCATGATTTCTTCAGTAAGTAGTCCGTAAATAATTTTATATTAACGTTAGCGAACGTTCAGCACACACGTGTATTATTTATTGTTAGTGTTTATGTTATTAGTAATTGTAAGAATTTGGGCATCGTGGTCACTGTCACCAAGATTAGTAGTTTTTATTTCATATCTAGTTGTGGTTTTGTTAATTATGATTTGGTCTATTGCTTTTTGTGATTTAAATGTATTCCGTGCAGGTAAATTCTCTGTAATATCTAAATTGAAATAATGCATACAACCAACACCACCTAGATATCTAGGTGGTGTTGATACAACTGCTCTTTTTCGTGGGATTCGTTCAGAAAATCAATATTGAAATCTCCACATATGACAATGGATTTAATTCGGCCATTTTATATGGAATTAGTTACTGTGCCAGTATTGTATGGGTATGGTTTGGTACTGTGCCGGTAGAGTGTGTTGCTAACTGTATTTCCATGGCGCTATTTTCGTGTTTGTCAACTAATTTGATTAGTTGTGTATAACGCGCAACTTTTCTTGAACGATGACCTTCATCCCCCTCCCTTGTGCAATAAACAGTTGAAGGCAAAAGCTCGCAGCGGGCACTGATGACAACATTTCAAGCATTAAAACTTAGCGCGAAACAGAAGCTAGTCAAAGGCAGTTGCTTTCATAGTGCAGAACCCCTGTTCAGATTTATTTTCAATATCGAGTACCTCACGGTATCAATTGCCCAATATCATCGTCAGTTGTAATTCATTGGATACGTAGTAAAGACTTCACGTAGTAATAGGCAAAGTATCAGAGAAAGTCTGTAGAATGCGTAGTGAATTCATTGGTTAGGTCAAAGTGAACCACTACCGCAGAAGAAGAAATGTCATTAAAAAATAAAAGAGTTGTATTATATGGTATTCATAGGAAGTTTTCTTAGGTTAGTTAATTGTATTTCTTCACTTGCTTACAAATTTACTAAAAGTTTGGATTACTTGACTTTAACCACACCCATGAACTGTGAAGCACCCCTTTAGATTTGTCATTAAATCTGAATACTGAAGTGGGCGTCTGCAATTTAGTTCCATACAGATACTTTAAATTAAGGTTTGTTAATCCTAGAACACTAATGAGTTATAATTTTGAAGGCTACCAGGGGAGCAATGGTATTTGGAATTCTGTATTCAATGAAAGTGGGTCTTGTCATACATTATGAGGATCTTTACATAAGTAGTTTGCCAGTATCATTACAGTATGTCAATGCAGTCTATAGATTATTTTAGACTGCCTTGCAGTATGTGATGTAGGTTATGTCAATCAAATTGGCACATTATTTGTTTGAAGAAAATATTATTTGTTACAATATCGATTCCGATTTGGAAACTGATTACAAAAATAAAATTGAACTAAATGTGTAAATATAACCAATATTCCATCTCCTCACTTCTTATTTTAGATATAAACCTATTTTACTTCTAAGATCTTCCGATATTATAACACTACCGGAACGAATTAGCAGAGATTAAGCACGAGCATTTATCCTATGACTCGATTTATAAACGACGTTGAAGTTTCGTTTACTTTAAAGTCTTAAATTTGATGTTAAATATCTTACAATGTTCACTTAATTAATTACTTGTGTATGCCTCAAGTGGACATCCCTACTCAAAACTATTTTCATTCACAACAGCTAAAGGTTGTGGCTAGCTTTGCATGTGCTCGCATCGGTGACCTAATGTCTTCTCCCCAAATCATGACCTTAGTACATGTCACCTTCATTTTCGTTTGTTTTCCAAATTTTTATTATTCATTTTGTTATTCGCTGTAACTCGTTTCCCAATGGTCAATTAACTTGACTCGACCCCAATGTCTTTACTAAAATCTGTCACTATTGGCTGTCTATATTCCACATACGTTTCTCTTCTCTCTCTCTCTCTCTCTCTCACACACACACACACATATCCACATACAAAGTCATACATCACATGCATACATATATACTCATTAACATAAATAATGACAATGAAACAACATCTTATGAAGTCTGATGGCATGCTGATCTCTCATAAGCAGTGATGATTACCCGCATTTCGTTTTACAAACATCTCTTTCGACTTTGCTGAGCTAGGACCCCTCCGAAATATTTACTACTAGAGTCCGATTACCGCGTATCTACTCAGTACGTTCCAGAACCGTTTTCCAGGGGTGTTAAGAGTTCTATTGCACACGTTCAAACGATTCAAAACTT